GAGGCATAGATGAGACACTGTTGCTTGGTGTGTGCATACCAATAACATTATTCTGCATGCTGGGTGATGTAGCGGAACTAGAAGAACCTACGCGATCCGTGCCGGGTGGATAAAGACCTGTGGGAGCATTTTGTCTCTGCCCAGCAGGAGGATAGGTGCTTGGAGTACGTGAGTGAGAGCCGTAACTATCTTGGCTCCCAGTGTTACCAGCCACATGCTGTGCTTTGATACTAGGCAGACTAAACCGCCGGCCGTCTTCTTCAGACATCTCTACTTCGTTGGGATGGGGATTGCCATTCGTATACATTATTCCGTCCATTCCATTATCATCAGCTTCCCCTACATTAGCCCCATCAAATTCGTCGTCCCCTCCGAAGCTTCCCATGCTCGCTCTCCTTCCCGCGCAACCGCCGAGGCCTTTGCTATGACGAGCAAGTGCATCACCGCGCGCGAATTTTCGATCGCATTTTGGGCAAATATGAGGGCGCTCTCCTGTATGTAGTTTCATGTGGCGCTTCAAATCGTGTAACCTACGAAACCTCATTTGGCAAGTTTGGCACACGTAAGGCTTTTCTTGACTATGTGTCAGGAGGTGACTTTTCAGATTATGGTGTCGAGTGAACTCAGTCTCGCAGTAAGGACATTTATGTTTCTTTTGAGAAGGCGACCTTGGTAAGAGTTGCTGGTTTTGATTGGGCATAGGTAAGCTCATCCCTCGAGAAGGATATTGTGAAGGATCCATCTGTGCCAAGTTACCTGGGAACGACATAGATTTGTTCGAGGGCTGCTCATCCATGGCAGCTTGAAGCTGACTGAGACCTGATCGCGCATCTCGGCCATCGGTCTCTAAAGAATTTGTCATGGCCGCCGGACTAGCGACAATTGTAGGACTCGCAGTTGCAGTTTGAGCCGTGCTACCCAAGCTTGCAAGACTTGCCACGCTCGCTGGGCTGGTTTCAGTCCTTTCGTCGAATGGCATAGTTGTTGGAATTGTCAGTGCATTTGCAGCTGCGGACATGCCCTCACTCATAGTGGTTGCAGCGATGGGAGCGTCTTGCGGTCTGCTCACGTTGACTCCTCCTCCGCCCAACAGAGACGCGATAGCCTCATGACCGGGATTTTTGCTCATGGCACCGGTTTGACTTTTCTGCGCTTCTTCCTTCTTCCGTCGCTCGTCTTCAAAGGCCGCTGCCCCGGTGAGCGGCGCAGCAGGGAACACGGGCGAGAACGTGCCGCCGAATCGCGGTGCTTTTGCAGGCGAAACAACCAGCCCCGCGTTCGCGATTGATGTAAGACTTGTCGTCGGAGGTTGTGTTAGATCTGCCCGACTTCGTTTCAAAGACCTTGGTCTAGTATTGTCGGATTCGGGATGACTTGAAGTTGCAGGAGAAGATTTAGTGGCGGGGTCTGATAAGTTCGCGGCAAAACCTGGTACGGTCGCGGAAATTGTTTCTTGCTCGGAGGCCATGAACTCGATATATTATAATGGGTCAAAAATTGACGCTTTAATTCACTGATTCTTGATTCGCGATCTCGATAACGCTCGTGATGTAATCAAGCTCTCATATCGAGTCTTCACTACCGGATTGTAAATTGTTGCGAGGCTAGTATTTCTGCTGGATCATAAGGCTTCTGTAGAGAATTAGAAACGATCGCCTCACGCTCTGCAATTGACATGATGAACCTACGGCTTTAGCGATCTGATGGTATATTGAATCTGGGTATAATGAATAAATCGCAAACGGTGTTAAACGACGTAATTATCCAGGGCTACGAGGGCTGCTATCTCGCTGAACATAATCAGACAGGCTGGACAACATTCAAGTAGATAAAGATAATAAATGATACAGGTTCAAAAATCGAGAAAGTGGTGAAATTGATGAATTGAGAAAGCCGAATGTAGAGCACTGGGAGCTGCTGACTTTCCTGCGTACACTGCAATGAATCTGATGGATGAACAAGAAGTAGTAGAAGTTCTGAATAGAAAATAAAGCTGAAGGTTGATTGCGCCTCAATAGAACTTCCAGGTTAGCGCCACTCTTTTGCGATCAAGTCTCTTTCAAGGCTTAGCTCCTTCTTGCCTTAAAACATGCTTTTTTTTCCCTTTCTATTGCTGACTCTATCAAATAATACTTTACTAGGTAGGTACCTGCCATCAGTGTGAATCATACGGTTTGATGAATTTTCATGTTCATATGTGTTATTGTGTACTCTTTGTGTGTGCAAATACTAGGTAGGCATGTAAAATTACCTACCTAGGCACTCAGGAACTCTAATGAGAAATTACCTTCTACAGGTTAATAAGTATCTATCGATGCTTTGAGTCTAGCATTGCATTTACAAGAGCTGAGACTTACAACACTCAGCCAGACCTTACGGTACAGAGGTAGTAATCACCTTGCACGAAGCATTCACGCCTAGTAGGGTAGGATGAAGAGTAGCACATAGGTAGTGGGTAGTAGGTAGCAGGTAGATGGTAGTAGGTAGTGGCCCCTTCAATGCCTCTATGTGGGCGGAAAAAGCGATAGACCAGCTCACCCAAGAAGAACCACACCTGGGTGTCTTGAAAACACAGATTTCGATAGTTTATGATCACATCAGTTTACATGCAAATGTAAAGAATAGATTTAAAGCTTATAACTTTATACCACTGTATTCATTCAACTTGTGATCTGAAATATTGATTGTTTGATTTGATAACAGATATGGACGAGAGCACCTAGGTATATATGTATGCTTGTTCCGGTTTTCGGTTGTGGGTTCTACTGGCGCTTCCATTACCTACTTACTTGTCATCTATCAGCTGGTCGGTGATCATTTGAAGCATGTATGGCGTCGGCTTCATGTGGGCAAATTATCGGGATAGCAAAGCTAAATCTAATGAGGTAAAAACTAGGGGACGTATCGATCTGATTGGAGGGTCTTCAAGATGTTTTACTTTCCTCGTTCTTTTCTTGACTTCCTCAGCCACATTAATTCTTGTCTCATCTTCACGTATAGGGTCCACCTCCGTATAAAGTTCACCTCGCCATAGATATAAATCTTGTGAATTCTCGGCACTTGAGCCTCAAGATACCACATTTACCTACCTCCAACAGTTAAAGATTGATGAATATTGTGTGAGTATCGTCGACTGGCCAGGTAGGTATATCAAATTCTGACTCTCTCCATCTGTATGAAACAACCGGGCCTCACACCAAAACTGGTTTCCCAAACCCTCGAGTATCAAATTGGATCTGGAATGGTAAAATATTTGATTGTCAAAATCCGGATTGGATCATTAAAACGTATTATAACATAAAGTTTGCTTAATATAACTTATTTCGTCCATCGCGTGACTATCTCCAGACACTGCGTGTACACACTGGGGTAGATATATCATGTAATCGGCATACTTAAAACAAAAACTTACTCAGAACACAACCCTCCCTCTGAAGTCTCTGTATTCATTCCTATTCCTTCCCTTCTCTTCCACACCGCAGTAACTTCTGTTCACCTCCCAATTCTGCTCTTAAAAGCTCATTAAATCCACAAATTGATTGACCATTGGACGAACAACTTATGGGTGTAGTCAGTCCATGACAAAGGACGTCAGCCACGGCTGAAAATACGACAACCTTGGCCAATTGATCTACGCCGGTTGTCGCCTCCCTGTAGAGCACTGCCTTAGGTCTTGACACTACATCTCAAAATACAGGTCCGAGGTATGACATAACATCCCTCAGAGGGAGTCAACGAGATGACAAGATTGTTCAACGCCGATTTCGATAACCCGGAGTATTTGTTCCATCATTCTGGGGAGATATCGATCAAAATGACGTTAACCTGATCAACAGGCATGGCGATAGATTAACGGAAGGATGATTGAGCATTTATAGATTGCTCTAGATTCTCCATCTTCGTTGTTATTTGCATCATAAAAGGCACCAGCCACACACAACATTGTAGAAAAGTGTTCATATTCCTGTTTCTTGCTTGTAAATGACATAACTTCACAGATTCTCACAATCTCCCGATCCACTAAATGCTGCAATACAGGGCGCACGGCTTTCTGTGCTTTCCACATCATCATATCTACTGCAGTTGTCTAATTTAGTTAATCTCTACATATTCTGTCTTCGTAGCAAAGTCACATGACATGCCATATCTGTGATCTTGCATGGATGTGGAGTTGAGAGAGAGTTAGCACTGAGAAGTTTGAAATATTTTTGGATGCCAAATTGAACAATTTGGAATATAGATATGGCATGAAAGGAAAATCCGATCTTGCTCCGAATGAACGGAGGGACACACTTAAGGAGAAGTGATAACATCTCATGGAACGATTGGGTGAGGGGCCTTGGTTTGGTTCCTTTAATCGGTAGAATAATGAATCCAAAATCGAGTTTGAGATAGTAGCCCCCCTCCCCTTTCAATCACTTCGAGATCGCTAATCATGATTACTATGTCTTCCTCTCACGAGTCACGACCCATAGAGAGCCTTTTCATGATATAGAAGATCATCTATTCAGCCCAGTAGATAAATGATCAGATATTCCACTCTCGAAGTATAAATGGTTCTCAGCAGCTGACTCGGGGCCTATGGAAAATACCAATTCCTTCAAATGCATTTCTCATGACTAGCATGATGTTATACTAGGAAGAGAGATGGCGAGAAAGGAGAAATGGTACACAAAGAAGCCAAGAAAGATCACGAGAAGAAATTCGGCTAGTCACAGCTTCTGATCTGCGTTGCTAACAGAACACAAGAAAGGCCTCAAGAAATGATTGAGACATTCCAGGAATGCTAGGTATACTTCCTTGTTTAGATATGGTCGGAGAATTGGGGCACTGGTAGCTTGAATAACCTATTTCGGACAAGAGATTTGTTTGGGTATAAGACTATGGTAGCGAGTCATACTTCCAAAGGCTGGTTGAATCAGGTGGTTCAGAAGATGGTTGATCTTCAACATCATCTCAGCAGTGCATAACTTCCTTCAACTTAAGCTTACACACTCAAGCTACTCTGGAACCTCAGTTGTTGCTTCTCCAATGACCTTTTCAATCTCACTAGGACAATCATCATCGGTCATTCTAAAGGTTCCCTTTGGGCTCTTCCCTAACCCTCCGCCCTTGGATTCGGTGACTTCCCTTTCCACAAGCTCAGCGTTTTCTTGTCTATCGCCACCAGCAAAATCGAAAACTCGGTAGTCCGCATTCTCATATTGCCTGTAGCTGACGCAAGTCCGGAGAAACGCCGAATGAGAAACTACAGCAATAACCTTCTCTGGACGTTGCTGTAACCATTTCCTAGCGGCAAGTCCTCGTCTTGTCAGAGCATCCTTTGAAAACTCATACAGACCAGATTTTTCTGGAAACAGTGGATCAACAGCTGACCAGTCAAATTGTGGCCACTCCTTCTCCATTATCTCTATGGGCGTTCCTGTATCACATGGCTTGTCTGAGTTCTCCTGCCATTCAGGTCGAAGTATAACGGGAACACCGCCCTTCATCAACCAGCCCAGGCCTTGCTGTGCTGTTTGCAAAGTCCGTCTCATGGGGCTCACCACAATGAGATCAATTTCCCGAGCCAGTGGAACTTCATGCTCAAGATGGCTAGCCAATTCGTCACATTGTGTCCCGAAGCCAAGATCGGTCAACGCCGGGTCATGTAGCTCATAGTTGCGTGCCCTAAAAAATCAGCCCAGGTCACAAATTATGTTACAGGATGACTTATGAGACACATCTTGTGCAATGTTAGCCAGAAACCGTAATGTAATTGAGTCTTGTTGACTGACTGTGAAGTGCTTGTGCATGCCTAATCAAAATGATTGTTGGAGGCATCTTGCAATACGGTAATCAAGTGTATTTAAATAGGTATTGGTAGATATTATTGATAAGGTGTTACACAAGGAACGGAGAGATGAGTAAGCTTTGAGTAAAATAGGTGAAGAAGAGTTTGTATGCTAGGTTATCCTGTGGATAGAAAGATAGGTCGGTGTATATAGTTAGGTGAACAAGGGAATGTTGTTCACTCATACAGTCATAAGCAGTGAATGTTGATGTGGTGAGTACGTGGAGTAGCATGCAATGTTAGTCATCGATGTCGGTCAGCTTTATTCCGATTGCTAGCTTCACAAAGTAGTCAAAAGAGAGACAAGAATTGATATTTTGATCTCAAATCATGATGTTAATGTGTAAATTTCGATATTAAAATGTATGAGAGGTCTAATTAATGATTCATTTCATCTGGAATATTGCAAAGAGTAAGTTTGCTTCATGTATCTTCTATTCCGTGCATATGAAGGCTAGCTGCAAGGCTAACCGATAAGGATAAGCAAGGAGGCAGTACAGGGCAAGCTATGTGATTATGTTGAAGTAGGTAGTGGCAATTGTCTTTCTTTCAACTTTACCATCACGCAGTACGGAATTTTGATCTCTTCCAACCATGAGTCTGTATCGTTCTGCTGCACTCTCGAGTCGAATCAAAAAGTCTACCCCATCATTGAAGCGAAGTTCATCCTCCCCCTTCTCTTCCCTGCCCAAAAGAAAACCTCTACGACGATCCAAATCGAAAGTAGACCGTGATGATGATGAAGAAGAAGAAGAGGAGGAGGAGGACTTTTTTGATGATAAGCTTGACGATGTAGGTCTGGTCAAAGCTCTTGCAACCGATCTCACCTTACGGGATGTTGCGCAAGCTATTCAACATATCAAGGGTAGGATGTGGAATCATATGCCAGTGCAGAGGAGTGGTATGAATTCAACACGAATCGCGGAGGTCCTCAACTACCGGGACTCGTTACCAAATGTTGTCACTGTCTCACATGTTCAAGCTTTACTAAACTCTCCCACTGCTGTTGAACGGGAGATTGTAGAATTAGTACATGGAGGGGCGATAAGAAAAGTTGTTGTCGGCGGGAGAGGAAGCCTTGGGGAACTTTTGATATTGGTGAAGGATTTAGAGATCATGATAGGGAGAAGCAACCTCAAGGCTTCTTCAAAAAAGGACTTGAAGAAGCTACTATGTGAAAACCCTACCGCGCTGAAGTTTCCTAGATCCCAGTTCACGGAAGAAAGCGCTCACGAATTTATACATGCTGGATTCCTTACCTCGTCAACGACCAATTATACAGTCACAGACCATTTCTCGAGGCCAGGTGACGGTTCAAAAGGAACCCTCACTTCGCTAGACAGTATTTCAAGGGCAGGTTCTGGATCTCTAGCTGCCGTTGGTGGTGAAGGGGCTGTTCATGCTTCTGGAGGGAGTGGAGGCGGTGCTCGATTGTCGGGAAAGGGTGATTTCACCTTTTCCCTTCCAGCAACAGGACAATTTCTTAAACTGTTGGGTAATGCCCGTGCTCACCTCGTGTCTTTGCTGTCCAAATCGAAGTATCGTGAAGCACCCGAATCTCTTCTACGACAGCGGTGGGACGGTGGAATCGAAAAAGACGAAGGAACCAGCGCGGCAAAGAGGCATAGAGGAGAATTCTCTGGCGTTCTTCCCGGCAAAACTAGGAAATGGAAGCAATTCTATGGAATCTCGTTTGAATGGATATTGGCAGAGTGCGTCGGTGCAGGCTTGGTTGAAGTCTTCGATACTAGGAGCATTGGGAGGGGCGTACGCGCATTATAAATATTCCATGAAGAATCTGGAGTCTATCTGGAATACCGTGGATTGATCTTCATCCTTCGCGATCACTGTTGTTTAAAACTCCAGATGGAATTAGATTGTTCGAATCTACAGGGAGAAACATTCCCTGGTCTAGACTGGCATAAGTTTGGTAAGCTCCATATAATGTATAAAATTCATATCAAATGCGGAGATCACCAGTGGGTGGAGTTCACTACTGCATGTTCAGCAGCGGAGCATTTTGAATGAACAGTGCTCAGGTCTCGGGGGTATCAATTTCTCTCCTGTTCAAGGCTTGTCGCATACAAATAAGCATGCGATGCAAGAAATAAGTTGGATATCAAGTAAACCTCACACATAATCAATGTTCTAATTCGAATTTGATACTTAAATGTTTTCAATGTTTCAACTCAAATTCAACAATCAAATGCTTTTGGTTTAAACTTTCACATCAGATTGGGTAATTATCGAAGCATTTATTTGGAAATCCATTGTGGTATGTTGAAGTATCAAGGTGTCATAGCAAAATGCAACTCACTGTATTGCTTATATTCGCCATCTACCCCATATGTATCAAATACACTTCCCACTCTTAAACCATTTCCTTTGGTCACTCAAAGCCTTGGGGAAATGTAAAAGATTCAAAAGCGTCTCCCACCTTGTAATCATGGCACGGATTGGGGCTTTTCTCATTTGTGACCCCTGTGCTTCCTTTCAACCCCTGAGCTTCTTTTAATATTGCCCCTCACACGGGTAATTTTGGCAGAGTTTGGTGAACCTATTATCGATATGAGATCAATCACATAGACGGACATGAAGGTTAGGTCGAACGTGCTGGGTGGGGCTGAAATCATCAAACGGTATTTCACATTCTGTGTCTAACCAATCCATTTCAAAGCTGGTATGGGGGAGAGGGAGCTTTGGATAGGGTATTAGAGGCAAGTAGCCTTAAAGCAAATATTATAGCTTAGGTACTTAACTCCTTCTTAACAAGACATGTTTGAGAGCTGACATGCTGCCATGCCACCAAAACGTACATTGTTTTATGGTGGGTGCAAAGATAAAAGGGCATCACTACATCGTATGTAAGAGATATCGATTAATGAACATCCTTTCAGAAAAGTACCGGCATGCATGGTGTACGATTGTAAGCATCTTTATCTGGGGTTAATGAAGGGCTTATTATTATTAGTACACCTCTGTCTGGATCATTCATTGGAGGATGTAGGTCTGGGGTTAAGTGAGATCTTCCATAGATGGTGTGTTGAGAAATATTTCTTCCTAAATGACAAAAAGCAACTGAAATTCGGAAATGGCACACGTATTAGGTAGTAAGTAGCATCACATCATCTAATTGATGAAAGCAAAGCAAAGCAAAGCAAACCTTACCTTGGAAATCTTCGATACAGATGAATCTTCAGTGAAGAGTGTTGCATTGTGATTCTGTACAGTGAATCCTACCGCACGCACGAGAGGACGATCATGTCGTTATGTCGTTGTATCGTTTTCTCGTTTTCTCGTTTTTTTCTCTCGGGTTTACCATCTCCCGATAAGTATGCCATACCATTGACCAATCAAGGTCTGCCTATCTAGCTGCTGCCCCTTCATCCCTCTTGTCTGTATAGAGTAAGTAAGGTCTTGTCCTACCTCTAGTTCCCTTCCTAGTAGTTCCTGCCCAAATTTGATCAATTTCGATAAGGATATCTAGGGTAACGAGGATAGGTTCAATAGATTCCCAAGAGAGCAGAGATTGCCCAAGACGCTCCACACCATCCCCGAAGTAATCATCAATTTATATTATTTTCCTCCAGATTATTCGTGAGGCCCGGTGAGGGAAGTTAACTTATCCACACACTTCCTCCTAGGCCCATGGAAAAACACGAAAGAAGGAAGGACATCTTTGCGGCGTAAAAAGACAATAATATAATAATTCCTTCCCCAAAATATCCACGAGAGACAAAAGTTCCGAGCTTTAAAGTTTTTCTATTCTCGAGACTCGAGTACGAATCAGCGACGAGTAATGGGTCCAGGCTAGATAGGCGACGGTGGAGGGTGGTGAGTACATGGTAACCATTATATCATCTCGTGCAATTGATAGGGGAGAAAAAAACAAAGCGAGAAATCAAGAATTAAACATCCTAAATTACCATGACCTTTTACGTTTTCTGTATGTTCTGCATTTCGCTCTTTACCATATTGATCCCTAGACAGATAACTCACAATCTACAAGGGACCGAGTAGGTAGTCAGTCCCTTTTGTTTTTCTCTTCCTCTCTCTCTTTCGACCCACCAACTATCCCGATACTGGTAACGAAAAAGTCCACTCATTCACCACCCTTCACGAATCAACCATCTACCCTGTTCAGGTCAACGGTACATTTGCCTTCCCCTTGCAACCTTGTAGTACAATCACCCATCACCCATCATCCTTCACCCATCACCCATCGCCCATCGCCCGTCAATCACCCAACCCCATGAGTCGAGCCGAGAGAGGAAGTGCATGCTTGATTTCAATGTTGTAGGACATATCCGCACTCACAGAGTTATACAGTAAGTAAGCTCTTTCGTTTCCTCCATTCATAGGACGGAACTCTCTTCTATCTTTCATCACCCCTCTGTTGCATATTCCAATAAGCTTCCGCGCTGCAGCTCTGCATACTCTATGTAACCTTGGGTTTAACACTAAAACGCTACAGAAAAGTACCCGGTACTTGCTTTACTTTGCTTTCCTTACTTTTTTTCGTCCACTCCTCACTTGTTGTACACGTCTGGTTTCGCGTCACTATTCGAAAGCTTCGAACATTTTTTTCTGCCATTCTATCCATCTCTCACGACTGCGAAAAGAACGACGATATCACGATCCTTATTTATGTTCCATACCAATCTCACTCGTCCTCCCATATAACTCGCCAAGTGACGGCTTCCTGCCTTTGTATCACCAAACCTGCGACTATTCCTTCATTTGTCGCCAAATTCACCGTCGGGACTCGAGAGATCTATAATCGATTCACCGTTCACAAACCCAAAACACACGATCTCATATCAAAGAAGATCAGCAACAGAAGATTCTTTTCATCTCTTTCCTACGATTTGATTCCCAGTCTTATCCATTTGCCAATCGCATGAAAAGGTTGGAAGATTGCGGTTCATACTTTCACAAATACCAACCTATTGGAGTCGAGAACCTGCACAGCACTGCTTCTTTTTGTCATAAGCACTGCATCCAAAGACGCCCAACTTCACAAAAAATCCTTTCCAGAAGTCAATGATTCGATCTGGTCTGCTGAATGCATGAACACGATATTACATATAACTTGTCAACGTCTGTTAGTCCTGGGGTAATCGGATAATTACTCTGCACCCAGCATCACTAGCAAAGGGAGCTTGCATATCTTGAGGAATTTTCGAAAAATAAATCTTCGTATCTGGAACATACACATGGTTTTCACATTGGCATCTTAATCTGTAAGGTCATCCCCATATCTGGGATTGGGGCTTGTCCCTTCGAGATAAATTTGCATGATTATCTGATCTTTTATTTTTCTGCCCTGATGTCAGGAAGAGTGCACTGACAATTCAAACAGGTCCAAACGCCCAATCTTGCTAAGGCATATCAGACGGCGTACTATTGGGTTTCATCCACCTTCGAGAGAACGAATAGGGAACTTGGTCTAGATCTTGCAAAGGCAGTGAATTGTTTATTGGTTAACTTCACAAATTGGCTTGTAACCGCAATATTCATTTAGCAACTCTCAACTCAAGAAATTTCCGCAAACGAGTTTCATGGAACTGTAAAATATACAGCTACAAGCCACTAGAAAGCTCGAATCTGGAACTCGAGTGACAAACAACGACCCAGATTGAGCTTCAGAGTCAGTAACAATGGCAGCGACCTTACCACGGGCCTCGAGGCCTTCTTATGGACCACCAACATCAGCACTACCGGCTTTACCTATGCCAAAGACTCGAAAGAGCACGAATGCATTGTCATTGCCCACAGACAGATCGGAAGCCCCAAGTACGCCTAGAAGTGGACTACGAACTCCGTCATCATCTAGCCTTCAACCATTAAGGAGCCCAGGTCTTCCAAAGGCACCCACTTCTCCAGGAGTTAATGCAGCTGGTAAGAGTATAAGAAAAACGATTAGTATCAACGCATTTCCTCAGCCTCCTCGAGGGGGTGTCAGAACAGCGAGTTTACCCCCCAGTCCTTTGTCTGGCGGTGCCGCACCAGGGACCGCACTATCAACAGGAGAGTCAAGTAAAAGGGAATCATCAGAAATCAATCCGACCAATAGTGGTAGCGGGAAACCCCGAAAGCGACCCACGGCAATGGCCAATCCTAGTACACAGACCGCTGTTAATGGATCAATGCCGACCCTACTCAACGGAAGCGGGGACAGTATTTCAATATCCAGCGGTGCTGGGGCTCGAGGATCGGATGGTCTATTAAGCTTACCCTCGCCTCCTCAAAGCCGTAGTTCGTCGGCCCAGGATTCATACTCGACATCTGTGACGACCACCGAAGAGCTTGGAGATGGATTTAGAGGTCGAGAGGGACCTGATGATGCCGATAAAAGATCCTCGAAGCCTGCAGAAGGCAAAGGAAATGTCATTGTCAGCGTACGTGTACGTCCGGATGCGAATAGTAATGGAGAAACTAGCAGGAGTGACGGAGAATGGGTAGTAGATGGAAGGAAATCACTGGTGGCTTACCGCGGGAAGGAAGGCGGCGATTATTACTATGGTAAAGCTATGTTCGACAATTTTTCCAAGCTGAAGATGCTAACACAGTAGCAGACAACGTTTTTTCGCAGCAGGACAATAACGCTAAAGTATATGATGCATCCGCCAAAAGGCTCGTACGGCGAGTAATGGAAGGGTATCACGGCACAGTTTTCGCATATGGTATGACGGGTACCGGAAAGACGTTTTCTATGCAAGGAACAGATAAGATGCCTGGTGTTATTCCTCTCGCAATTACCGACATTTTTTCATATATCCGTGAAACTCCATCGCGAGAATTTCTACTCAGGGTCAGTTACTTGGAGATATACAACGAGAAGATTCATGACCTTTTGAGTGCTTCTACAGGTCCTGCAACGGGCCCAGGAGCTGTTCAAACTGAAGAAATCAAGCTCCGAGAAGATAGCAAGAGAGGCGTGTATGCCACACCACTGAAAGAAGAAATAGTGCAATCTCCAACGCAGTTAATTCGTGTTATCTTTCGGGGTGATCAAGCACGAAAGACTTCTAGTACACAATTTAATGCTAGAAGTTCTCGTAGTCATGCGGTCGTACAGATAGTGGTTGAATCTCGCGAGCGGGTCCCCGGAGGAGCAGCCATGCAGGAAAATAAACGAACAGGAATTAGTCCTGGTGGTGTCCGTGTTTCTACTCTCAGTCTGATCGATTTGGCAGGATCAGAGAGAGCCGCCGAAACGAAAGAACGGCGTACTGAAGGCTCCCATATCAATAAAAGTTTGTTGACCCTTGGAACAGTCATTGCTCGACTGTCGGGGAACAAAGACAAGGATGGCAAACCAATGGACAAGGACGGAAAGCATTTGCCATATCGCGACAGCAAGCTCACAAGACTTCTTCAAGGCGCGCTTTCAGGGGGTTCGCTTGTCAGTATTCTGTGTACAATATCTGTTGGATCTGGAGCAAGTGCTGCCGGACCCAACAGCCATACTAGCGAGACTTTGAACACCTTGAAATTTGCTTCCAGAGCTGCAGCAAATATTGTCAGTCATGCTAAAAAGGCGGAGGATGCGTCGAATGGAGGTGATGGTAATACTAGGGCTTTATTGGAACGATACCGCATGGAAATCGTGGATCTAAAGAAGCAGTTGGATGGCCAGACCAAAGCCAAATTCAACGAGGAGGATCAAGCCCAAAAAGAAGAAGCAAAAGCTCGTCACAACGAGCAATTGATAGAAATGCAGTTGGCTCGAACTGCTCTTAAAGAGAGAATCGACCATCTAAACAGACTGATCCTCAGCTCCAAGTCCACAGGTGTCAATACCAATGGTACCTATTCAGCTTTAAGTATGCGACCTAGGCTATCGATGGGAGCATCAAGTGGCCATATGTCTTCATTATCAGTGCGCTCATCTATGACACCATCCACCATCACATTAGATCGCGCCAATTCGGTCTCTACCATTGGCCGACGACCCAGTGCGCAACGATTATCCGGTACCATCTCGGGCGATCATACATCAATGGAGGACGATGACTCTGGGGGCGAGTATGGAAATGGCAATGCTTCATTGGCAGCGCAGAATCGAGCCTTACAAGCCGACCTTGCAGATAAGACCCGATATTGCCAGACCTTAGAAAAGCGACTGCTACAAGCTCGGCGCTCTAGTCAGTCAAGGACGTCTGTACAATTCGGTAGCAAGTCAAATATAATGGTGGGAGAAGACCATGGGATCTCCAACCTATTGAGAGACAAGGATGCTGAAATTGCGGACTTACGAGCGAGACTCGATGATAAGGACCGCATGTTATCAGCCCTTCGCAGTTCTGCTCGGTCTCGAGACACTGCCGAACGTGATCCTCGCCACAGCCTAGGCCAAGGAATGCCACTGAGTCCCGTCTCAGCTAGGGAATCTCAATTGTTCGACACTAGTCTGACAAGTGCCGGAGGCGCGGCGAAGGTTCTCCCACCCACCGTCCTTCCCCCAACGCCCCTCAAAAACTCAAAGAGTGTAGATGAGATGAGTAAAATGCTTGATGAGATGATACAGGATCGAATTGAGAATGGACAATCGAATAAGGAGGCTAGAGGAAGTATGCGTGCAGGCGAGCGCAAACGAGCGGTGTCAACGGATCCAATTCCTGGAATTGAACCTCTCAAGAGTCCACATCTGAGTTCCAAGGCTCAGCTACATGATTCTGGTGTTGTAGTAACTGATTTCTTCAAAAAGAGTGAGGGGGAAAATCTGTAATCAATATGGGTATGGTTTATGGCGTTATTGGGAGGTTTATTTGTTGTCTATACCCACGTTTACTTTGCTTTCATTTTATTTCCCGGGACTTTTTGCTTATCACAGCATGCTCCTTTTTTATGTGGCAATTGGTGATGGGGCACTTGAGCGGGCTGGTATTTTTGGGAATTATTTCGTTGGGTGGTTGGTGGGACGGATAGTGGCATTTATCTGTCTTAATGTAATAATACGACCAGGGTAGACTTGGGGCCTGGCTGGATGGGCGAACTCAGGAAAAATCATACTTCTGGATCGCTACGGAGGACTTTCTTTTACTACTTGGTTTCGTTTACTTTTGTGCCGGGACTAAATGCACATTTGGGAAATAATCAAATCTTGAAGATGGATTTGTGGATTGATACCAGGAAGGATGCAAACTGATACAAATACAGCATGTCGATACAGCGATGATGGGAATTGTTACGTAGAAAGAATTGAGATGAGATGTTAGTTATGGGTGAGATTGTTGAGTTTAGCGTGCGGTTGCCAGAGCAGAAAGATATCAAGTTAGAGTTAGACGAGTCGCGATTTAATGAATTGATAGAGTCAAAAATATGATTTGACATATCAGAATTTTAGATGGCCGTTTGAATTTAAATGCGGGCATAGACAAGTGAAACGTGATTAAATGTAGTAGCTCTTTGTTTTCGTATCAATGCAAACGGGAAACGAAGCTGGAGCGCGGCAGCCACCAGCCGGTCATTGCATAGTGAGAACAAGTTGCCTCGTTTCTTTTCGATGAGGCACGTTACGGCTTTGGACAGGTTTTGGAGGAATGCCTAATACCCAATGTTTCATACTTGGTGACGAGAATGATAATTCTGAGGATTGTTACCCACCGTGCTTTACTTACGATACTTGTGCTACCGTGACAGCGTCGGCTTCAGCCTCACAGTGACTGTACGTCAGAAGCTGATGGAATCTTACGTTGCGCCGTTGAAAGCAAGCATGTCTGTGTACCTACCTATGGATGGCACCGCCGCGAGGATTTGGTGGGAATTGGGTCTTCTGGATATAGGCTCTGAAGCTGTGGTTTACTTGCGTCATCTTTGTGTGCGATTGCTCCAAAGGCAGTCAAGAGGTTGAAAATAGGTCAATGTCAGAATCACATTCAATATCTTAGAGTATCTAATAGTCCGAATTGTGGTTCAATAATATAAGAGTTTGAATATCTAAAAGCATTCAGAAGTTTGAAAATAGTTTCATGTTTTAATCAGATTGAATATTCCGAGATATATAATACTTCAAATTGCAATTCAACAATATAAAAGTTGCAATCTTTAAAAACAATCAAAAGTCTGCAAGTAGTTCAATATTCTAATGAAATTTAATATCTAAGATGATGGAAATACTCTAATTGCTTCGGGGATTTGATAATCTTGATCGTTGGACTACAGTTCGGACTTGCAATCGTCAAATTTATTTTGGAGAAAAATCATCTCGATTATCCAATCTGTGTTCACATCCTGATCTCCAATGGAGCAGGCAAACGGAGAGTCAAAATTTGTGTTACATTCTGCTGAGCTACTTTCTCGGGGCAAAATGGACATTTCGGAGAGAAAACATTTTCCAAGAAATGTGAATCCCTTTCGCATATCAATTGTGACGATGGTTGGATGAATGATCGCGCGAAATCTATTTCCAGGTCATTCCGTTTCTAGCACGTCTTGTTGGTAGTGTTCCCAGAAAGGGAGAATCGGATGATCAAAGGAGTAGCAATGAAATCCTCCAACAGGAGGATGTCGATGATCCTTCGTGTGACGTTTCCTCAAGGCTTCCGTCGTTCAAACTCCTGTGGAGTGAGGAATGGAAGGAAGGTTGGTTGGATGAGAATTGTAAGACAGCGGAAATTCCGCCACTTGTTATAACCAAGGATGGCACAAAGATGCCTACCTAGGTACTCATGCTTTACGCACAAGTGCTTATGCACGAGACGTACAGAGCCGATTTCGTCCACACGGTACATCTCCTGGGAATTGCCGAGAAGTCGTACGGGGTACGGGGAATATATGTTAAACACGATTTGCGATATGTGAGTGGATGTAGATGGTGGCGTTTTCCTGCTGTGAGTGCTGTGCGAGAATGTGCTCAACTCGAGACGGGCGATTGGAGATCTGTCTAGCAGACTAAGGAGGAGGTGGCATCATAATACGTACTTGCCAGAGGGGAAAATGTTTCAACAAGTTTTTTCTCCGCGATATAACCTTAATTCACGGACGTGAATCTCCTCGTCCTTATCCAAAAGCTTAAGAGAAAAGACTATTCGTAAAATCACATGCAGATTGGATAGTGTAGAATTTTGCTTTTGTTTGGGCTTGTTTGATCTTGATGTTCTGGTGCGTGATTGGTTGTAACGAGCAATCGGACATTTTCATTAGCACGTTTCGGATGCTCAGGGGTCAACGCAATGCACTCTGTAGAGTTCGCGGTTGAACAAGAAAGAGACGTGAGGGAAGCCAAAAATCCTATTTAGGCGAGTTAGAACCCCCCTCCATGATGGGTGGAGAATTTCAGGAAGAGGAGGGAACGAGAAGAGTAACAAAGGTTAAGGGATATGTCATTTATGCTATGTGCAATGTGCACATCCGGTGCCACCAGCTAATCAAGTCAAATCGATATGAGTTCGGGTATTCTCATGTTGCTGATAGGCATGAAAACAAGGTTTTAAGGTTGGATAATATCAATGCTTATGGTTACAAGATCCTGTCTACAGCCTGCCGGTGGCGGCATTTCCCTCAAGCTCCGTACTGTTGCTAAATTGCGGAGTAGCTAATCAGCTCGTTGGTTTCCAGGGTTCAACGAGGTGTAGGCGTTGCTTTGATTGCTCTTGGTATTCTTTTGTTGTAAGGGGAAAATTCATCCAAAGCCCTTCTGAACTCTTGGTGTACGGGAAACATCTGATATTTGGTGAAGGATGATGGCTATTTGGAAAAAAGAAAAGCCAGAAAAGCTTTCGAGTTGAGATGTTGCGACTTCATCTCTTCTTTCTTTCCCTTTAACATTCTCTTTCCCGCTTACCTGTAACATGCACATGGTGCTTAAATCCCTTTTTTTTTGGCCCCACGTTCCATTCCATAAGATTTGACCCCTAGTTCCCTCCGTCAGCCCCATGCGAGAATCTAGCTTCAACCAATAATCATCCATATATGTGCAAAAGTTGATGACCACATACAAGGGCCTTACCATGCAAAAATATCACATCTCTGTCTCAAGTTGATCTCCTTCTGTTCCGGTATCACTGTATCAGATCTTTTCTCGGGTCATGGATATCATCCTGGTTTTCTTTCTTCATCTTAATCACATCTCTTCTTCGCCTCAATCTCATCTGCTGTTCATCCAGTGAATAGTCTCGGATTTACCTTCTCCTGTCTTAAAAGTAAAATGTGGCATGTAGATCATGCATTTTGACTTTGGTACATCACCTCATTGATTCACAAAAGGATACGAAAGATTCCACCTTAGACGTCACCGGTGTCCACCTCTTGGGTCAACTCCAACTCTATGCGCTTCTACATATTCCGGCAATATTCTTCGTTTCGTCTTTACGCGCTTCCGCATCTACTCCACATTTTACTGTTGCCAAGAAACAATATCCATACACTTCAGAAGTACTATATCTTTTGACATATCTCAAATATATTAAAATCTTCCGATTCTGGAAAGCAAACCTTCTTGTTTCGGTTCATATCCGTTGAAGGGTTTACCTCTAAAGAGCCTTCACTTCCTCACCTGTCTCCTTATTAGTCACTTCATTTACTTACCTCGGAAGTTGGAAATTTCTACATGTCACCTACTCAATATTTACTTTTCAAGTGCAGGCACATCTGAGAGCTTCTCTAATAGCACCACAACGCTCCTTTTCTAAGCAACTTTCGCAACTGCATTCTTTTTCGTTTCTTCCTGGCTGTGCCAGTCATTTTACCTCATGGTTCCCCCTCCTCTTGACGTGAAAAAGTCATACACGCACTCAGACATGCTTCTCTCATCACGAACTTCTCCTCGGCTCAGTTTGCGTAAATCTGGAGGGTATGATCCAAACGACCGAGGACCGTCGTCATCTACTTCTTCTAGATTTAGCTTCAACCATTTGATCAAATCGCCCCCGCCTTCACCAAGTCTTCCGGCTTTAGTTCCAAGGCACGGTAAGCCGGCGCCATCACGGACTCCTCGAAAGTGGTTCAGAGGGTTCTTATGGGTTTCTGGCATATTGGGGTTACTTTACTTTGGCTTTACCTCGACATGGCTAGAAAGGCCCATGACGGCAGTAGGGTGGGCAACAGATTCTGGTAATCAGTATGAGATGGTTGGAGAATCAGAATTGCCGGACTTTCCAACACCAGTTATCGTAACAGATAAACGCGGACGATCGAAATGGACGGTTTCCATACCTCCCAATCACGAATTTCCTCTCACTCCCATACAATATGCCGATATATGCGCGCAAAATATGGAAGTCGCTGCCACTGTTGCAGATCTTCATAGCCACGTGCACCGAGAGCATTTCGCACATTATGATTACTACCACGTGGACCAAAACTTCATGGACGTTGCGGAGGCGGAGGCACATGGACTTTTGCCCGGAATTAAGGCGAAGAACAATGTATTGAGGGAAAAAGATGGTTCATTGGTGGGCGAAAATAAGGACGGCTTGATTGATTCAGATATCTGTGACAAGACTCTGACTTTTGTGCTCGAAACGTCGGATGCGGGACTCGGAAAGGGCTTGATGATGCTGTGGACTGCGTTCGGTTTGGCTCAAAAGGAAGGAAGACATTTCTTCGTGGACGACTCAAGATGGTAAGCTTTGAGAAACTAAGCCTCATTTCTTTCCTCGTTACTGACAACAACAAGGGCATACGGCAAATACACAACATTCTTCAAGCCACCTCCGACTCCCAAATGCAGACCCCCACCACGCCACGAAATGCTCCCATGCCCGCATCATGCTCGCCATCTGGTAGTCTCGGCTGCGACCGCAACTCACATCTTGGAGGATCTTTCAACGATTATTTTGAAGACGCGAAAAAGATGGAAGTCTACCGACAAAAGCCTATCTTTGAAATGGCTCGACTCGGGTACGAAGCCCTTTTCCACCTATCCGACGATGACAATAAATACGTGGACAGCAGAGCCGGAGAATTCTCGGCGAAGTCCAAACTAGACCCATCAAATCAACAAGACGGGATGGTCATTGGTATACATGTTCGTCACGGGGACAGAAGGCCATATGAATTCCAATACAAAGACAGCTATATTCCATTGACAGTGTATAGCGACAAAGCACACATGTTGATAAACGAGAAGTTCAATCACTCACTTCCGAATGGGGAGCACGACACTTTGGCCAAAATGGCTAGTGCATTGGTCATTGCCTCTGATGACCCAGATGTTTATGATTCTGAAGAATTCAAAGACGTCTCTAGAGCGCAGGAGCAGATTCGACTAGCATCCAAAAATGCCCTTGATGCAGCCGCTCCTAAACCTAACACTCCAGGGCCAAGAAAATTCGTAGATGATACCGTAGGATGGGAAGGGGGATTCTATGCTGGCATGTTCTGGAGTTTAGGCAAACCTTCGGGAACTCCGAAAACTGCTGTCGAAACCCCTGATACAACATTACCACCTACTACAGAAGCTTTACGATTGAGAGAATTGGTCGGAAGAGCTTATTTGATGGATTTGGCGGTGTTGGGAAAAGCGAGTGACAAGATTGTCTGTACAGTCAGTGCCACGGGCTGCAGGCTTCTTGCCGTGATGATGGGATGGGAGAAGGCGATTGATCAAGGGGGATTCGTCAATGTGGATGGAAACTTCAACTGGAGAGGTGTGGAATGGTGAAAAAGTAGAGCACTTGTCTCCTCTTTCATGCATGCAATTAAATTATTCTTTTGTTCATATTAATACCTCTGGGTAGCGGGATTTTTGGCGTAAAAGCATTGCCCCGGCGTTGGAAATGGAGTTTTGGGCTTTATGGGATAACTCACAATCGTGACGGAGATTAAAGGTAAATGGGAAGCATGCATTGCACGGTGTAGGATTACGTGTTGCATGATACCAGGCTATTGGTTTAGCTTTTTTTATTTATAGAAATCACTTGAATAGTATATTCTTTCTCAATCTGAACTTGTTTCGTATATCCTAGTGATGGCTGCTAAATAGTTCACAAATCATGAAGGAGCCAGTGATGCTTTCTCTGATTGTTCCTTCCTTGGCTCTGGCATATTTGTCGTTTGTGGCTTCTACGACGCAAAGTTGCGCAATCGAGAAGACTGATACCGGATGACAAGCAAGGCATGACAATGTGAATATATATTTCAGTCGTATCTATGCGCTGCCTTCATGAAAGCTCCAGATTGCCAATCTGGGTTGGGATATTCAAAGCATCTGATTGTCAAATTCGAATTGGAACTTGGAAGATATTATGAGACCTGACCTGCAGTCTGAAGTATTGGAAGACGTAGGACTGCTTCTAGAGCAATGAGATTCGGGGGCGCGTTGTACATGTTGTTTGAGGGCTCCTGTGTCTGGGAATGAGAGGGCAGACATAAAGGGGAAATCCCTTGGAACTCTTCATTTTCTTTTAGAGCATTATAATTCTTTCAATTGTTTTAATCGATATGATTATTTCAATTTATATCAACGTCTCAATTAATATCCTGATTTGTATTGATAATATTCGGATTGAAATCATCTACAATCATTCTCATACTTTTATACTTTATTATATATGATTTGATCTAGTACAGTTAACATCTAGCTTACGCCACGCCCAAACTTTTCCGTCAAAACCTCGGCACGATGATTTTAACGCTAGGCTCTGAAACATACAATCCAGCATATAACCACACGATGTAGTCTAGTAACGAGAACCTACGCTATCCTCACACTTTCCATCAAAACTTCGGCAAGATGATTTTCTCACAGGCTCTAAAACGTTGTAGGTTGTTCTTTCTCGCTCGGTATTTCTTATGGTGAGGAAGTAAAGATCGACTCGATCATCGTCTCCTCAACATGTTGCATGTTTTCATATGCTTCCGCTGTTCATCATCTCACCCATCATTCTTCATTCTTTACCCGTTAAGGTAGCATTTCTTACCACCCAACACGTTCAAAATCGAGCTTTTATTGACAGTTTTATTCATTGAGATTGCAAAATTATCATGAGTCAGCCAAGAAGCACAAAAGGGCTCTCGACTAGCCACCACACCCGAAGTATGTCGATGGAAAGCTTCTTGAAATCTTGTCCGCCTACTCCTGCTCACACTCCCTTGGTTCGATCGCCCGTCAGAATACTCGGGAGTGGGTTATCAGCTTTGACACTCGCACGCAGTCTGTACAAGAAGAATATCCCCTTCAAGATCTTCACAAAGGATCGTCGGCCTGAAGAGAACTCCAATCGGCATGATTATAGTATCTCGCTCCCAGTGTGGATTGTCAATGACCTAAGGAAACTGCTGAACATTAGCGAAAAGAGGTTTCAAGATCGCCTTTTAGTGCCTAGCACCACACCTTTTCCTCAGAAAACGACCAATACCAGAGTGAGAGTTCACCGCGGTATGCTAGAACTTCTTTTGAGGTCACGATTCAAGCATGAGATTGAATGGAATTGTGAGATTAAGATTAGATCAAACGGGTCGCCTCGTTTGGTGTTTCCCCCGCATGTCGATCCATTGGAAGGGAATATTACGTTCGACTGTATGGGCGTTCATTCTCCGATACAATGTCCAGGTAGCTATAGAGAAATCAGTCCCATTGTGGTATTCCGAGGCACCGTCATCTTGTCAAAGACTTTGTGGAATCAGAAGTTTCGAGATTGGTTTCCTGGCAACACAGCGCACATCCATAAGAAATTCGACAGAACCAATTTGGATCTCATAATCAACCACGTTGATGCGCACAGCGGGGAAGTGAGCTTAACTTACATCTATTCACGGCCTCGGTTAGATGGTTTAATAGACACTGAAGATGAGCTCTGGAAACCGACACGACCAACTTACGAAGCAGCATCCCCTGTCTTGATCGAAAAGTTTCTCAACGAAATCAAAACCTTCCGACTAAAGCATGATCTACCTGGTCCTTATAGCGAGATTTTTAATCCCGAAACGATGAAAGAAAACAGAATTCTACATTGGCTGTTGAGAACTCACCAGGTGGACCAGCCAGAACTAATCAAATTGTGGACCGGCGATGAAAAGATGATGAAACTAGGCGATGCTATAATAACCATGCCCATAGTCGAGACCACTGGTGCTGAACTTGCTATCTCAGATGGTTTGGGTGTGGCTGAACAGATTGAGAGACACGGGGGAGCGGGATTGCACCGCTGGTTTATTGAAAGCTGGGAATGGAAACTTACTGCATTTCGGGAAAGTAACCGCCGTATACTTGCAAGGTATCGATGAAGTATATAGTTACACGTGAGATTAAAACCCCTAGGTAATAGGCAATAATCGGTTTCAGGCGAGGGGCAGAGACTATTACTTATTCTATGGCACCCCTTTCCACATTTTCTCAGCCTCAGGGGTAGCGATAATTGATCATAAAACACAAATTGATCACATTGAGCGCTATCAAGGGAAACTTTTCGATAGATCAAAAATTCATTATATTGCATACCTTTCTCAAGCCATGGATGAAACAATGTCGATCACCCAGCACTCATCATATAAACACATTCATTCTTTACTACGATCCAGAATATCTAGCTACACTCTCCATCTCCAAATTTCATCGCCTACACATCTCCGTTTAAATGAAGTCACCAAATCCCATCATCTTGCCGGTTCTATGCCTTTATATAGTCCATTCTACAAACGCAAAATTACATTTCACATCACATTATACAGAAGTCCACGCTCTGCATCATAACAAAGCTTTACATCCTAGTAAGAGAGACTTTCTCTCCTGTGAGCAAACATATGGAGAAGGTTCAGTTCCATGTGGTGGGAGCGATAGTAAATATTGCTATGATCCTACGATTGGGGAGGTGAGTTGTCTCTTCCTTCCGTGTACATACTGTGCTAGAATGATTTCCGTGCCCCTTGAGGAATCACTTCACGCACTTATGGTACTTCATGAGAATCTGAACTCTGAAGACTTCTAAAGAGTAGTGACCTTCTTTACCCCGGAGCACTCTTTTGATTCTTCATAATAGTTTTGAACTTTGAAATTCAAATTGAGAAGGTGCTGGGACTTCAACGCTGAAGAAAGACAACGAGATGCGAACATGTGAAAGTCTATACTGATAAGCTTTGTGGCATGAACAGTCGTGCTGCATGCAAGATTATGGATACTGTGGTATAGGAGATGTCTGCGCGTCGATTGAGGGTTATTGCTGTCACAAGGTATGACATTGATCGAATCTCCAACACCCCCAAAGATCAATGCTAACACTACACTCGACGCCAGGAGGAAAACGAACAAGTCTGTATGCTTCGTCTCGGCATCAGCGCCCCCGATGATTTCACATCCGACCCGGATTCTGCTATCGATTCGGGAGACGCAGATTCCGGATTGACATCCGTCGCATCCTCCTCATCGGCTTCTCAATCGCAGTCAGAATCGCAATCAACCACAGAAATGAAGTCGGATGATAAATCGACTGATCCTGACCTCGGAACTGAATCAGATGATTCGGACGGTAACTCCAGTCCACCCATGTCCATGCTAATAAATGCGTTGAACTCGGGTCCCCTCGCCGACGAAGATGCAGGCGAAGACGAAGACGAAGACGAAGACCCAGACTCACTTTTGGACTCGGGATCAGATGTCGATGTCGATGCTGACACGGGAACTAATGTGCACCCTGAATCCACCGCCGTGGCTTTGAGTCGAGAGACTGCAGTAGCGTCTGCGATGTCCCTTGACATGACGAACAAGGATGGGATTTCTCGTGCTCTAGCTTGGGATACTTCCACGCTAGTCTCGTCTTCGGTCGCGGGGCAGTCGAGTCGTGCTACGGCTGTGAATAATGCTAATGGGCTGACATTATCGGCTCTTCCATCGCAATCTATTTCAGAGGGGCTTATTGCCAGCGCGACAACTTCTGGCATTGAGGGAATTTTCACCGGTGGAGCTATGCGGATGGGGAGGGAACCAGGTTTGGATGGAGGGATGGCAAGGAGCTGGTTGATTTGCGGAGTGTCTTTTGTGGTTTGGGTTTTGTTGTGATGAATGAAGGGGTATTTGAGGATATCGTGTGCGGCAAGCGAGGTAGAACGTTAATGCAGAGTGTCCAATAGTCCAGACTGCAGTCCAACAATCAAAACCCTTTGAATTGTTCAATTCTTTCTAAGCATTGAAAGTATTTGAGATATTGAAAGGGTTTCGATTATTGAATTGAATTACATGACTGAATTTATGAGATCAATAACAACATTTCCAAAATCTTGAAACTAGAATTTGAGAACGAACTTCAATAATCAAACCCTTTAGAATATTCAATACCTTTTAAATACTGAAAGTATTTCAGACATCAAAATCGTTTCAATTGTTGAATTGATTTAAGATAATCAATCTATGAAATCAATAATAATGTTCTCAGAATCTCAAAACGAGAATCTTAGAAGGAGTACAGTTCGGACAATTATAGAAACACGGGTAGAACTATGAACAGATGACCTAGCTTTTATTATCTACACGCTGTTAAATATCATTTTATAACTCTATTTGTCTTTTATTCAAACCCTTCTACATCCAGTAATTAATTATTGGCCTTAACATCCCCTCCATACTGCACTCTTCTAATCATCGAACGATTGCATCCCTTGATATCTTGAATACCCGCCAATCCCATACTTTGATCCACATCCGCCAAAATCCCTTGCAAGACCTGTTTGGCTCCCTGTTTCCCACCTATTGCCAATCCATAGATAGCAGGTCTTCCTACTAGAACGGCCTTGGCACCCAGACTGAGGGCCTTAATAACATCCACACCAGTGCGGATGCCACTATCAAACAAAACCGTCAGTTTGTCACCAACAGCTTCGACAATCTCAGGTAACATTTCTAGAGAGCCAACAGCACCGTCGAGTTGACGACCGCCGTGGTTGCTGACAATGATGCCGTCGACACCGGCTTTGACGGCTTCCAATGCATCGTCTGGATGTTGGATGCCTTTCAGAACAATGGGGCCATCCCAATTATCTTTCAAGAGTTTGATCTGGTCCCAAGTATGCGCAGCACCGGAGAAGATATCACCAACCCATTCTTGGGAAGCTTCAAAAAGCTTCTCCTCTGGAGTGGCGTTGTATTTTTCATTGAACTTTCGGCGGAAGACAGGATCAGTGAAGCCAGTCTTGTCACCGACACCTTTCATGAAAGGGACATAACCTCCATCAAGATCAGCGGGTCTCCAGGCTAAAGCCCAAGTGTCAAGGGTTACGACGAGGACTTTGTAGCCGGAGTCTTTCGCGCGTTTGAGGAGGGAGAGGGTGATTTCGTCATCTTGAGGCCAGTAAAGTTGATACCAGCGATGGCCATCGGGGCCGTTAGATTCGGCTACTTCTTCGACTAGGAAAGGCGGATTGTTAGTCGTGACTCCTGATCAAGGTATAGGATTCATGTTCTCACTGGATGAAGACGAAGCCGTGCTCAGAATGTACGGTACACCAATCTCCGCACACACCTCCGAGAGACCAGTCTCCTTGTCTTCATGAAAGATCTGTTGAACACCAACTGGAGCCATCAGGATTGGACTATCATATTCCTGACCAAAGAGATTGACACGGAGATCTCGTTTGGTAGTGGGACGCAACATTCGAGGTACCATCTTCCACTGTCTAAACGCAAGTCTGTTGGCATCCATAGTGGCTCTTTCCCCGGCTCCTCCTGCTACATAGTTGTATGATGTGGATGCAAGCTTAGAGCGTGCTTGTTCCTCGAGTTTGTTGGGATCGGTGGTCACAGTTGGGACAGTATTAGCAAACATGCCATCTGGAGGAAGTTAAGTTAGCTGCTTGGTCTTCTTTTGAAATGAAGGGGCATTGCATAGGGTATCAAACCTTTATAGATTTCATTCTGGAAAGCACCGTATTTTCTTTCGTGGCTTTCTCCATGAACGGATTGAGGATGTTGTTTCTGCATATTTGGGGACATTTTGAAGGTATTGTTTCGTTGGAGGGGAAGACAGAAAAATGATACTGATTACACGAAATGATACTGTACAATTGAAAATGAAAAGAGGAAGAAACGACTTATTGAATTTATTCCTACAAGAGTTATTATACTCACTCTACTTTGCACCGGTTTCCTCGGTGAAATTTGCGGAGAGTCTTGACAAATGATACCAGTCCAGTACCATATTTACCTGACGTATCTCGTTCCCAAGTGGTAGAAACTATTGCATTTGGTGTTCAGATACGTGGTACCTACGTCATGGCAAACATTTTGCATTATTTATCCTGAAACCCAAGTGCGATGAAGTAGCCCGGGGAGTTAAGACGACGACAAGAAGACTGTAAACCCCATTCCATAATCCGAGCATGAAGTTTTTCGGTTTATAGTGAAATGTATGGAACTGTATTTCACATGAGATTGGTAAAAGGTACGAAGATGTAAAGATCTTACCTAGGATATTGAATCCAAGTATCCATCATCACTTGGCACGCACGGCCATTATCACGCTTAAACTTACAATGGATAGATACGATACCTAGATAGATAACATTGGCATGGAGAAGGCACAGTGCCACAGAGTCAGAGTCAGCACCAACAAGACAGTAAAATAGATAGAGAAAGAGGGGCCTTATACATTACGATCCACCTCGAGGTACGAACTGCCACAATGGAATCATCATGCATACCTTTGCATGTCACTTCATATATAGACATGCAGGTGTACTTGAAAGGCGTCGAACATGACTACTGTTGACATGTCATTTTGTGGCATCAATGTCGGGACATAAGGGACCACCAGGGCAAAGCAAAGCAATCATATTCGAGTAACGTATTACAAATGATATCTTCATCCATTGACATTCAATCATCGACTTTTCCGTTCTCCGCGTCAAAGATCCAAAGCTTCTGAGTGGCTGCATGGCTCTACCCCGAGTTGCAACAGACCCCGCATCTATCAAAGAACTAATCCCCGCTCGGATGGAACCAACCAACATATATTTGCTGCTATTGACTGTCATCCAAATAGTCTTTACCACATTCACTGAAGCACACTCGCATATATGCAAGTATGTGTGCTAATAAACCTCGGCGTTGCGTATCGGCTTTAAAGTCCTCGTAGCAAAAATGGTGTAAAGGTGGTGGAGTGACAGATGGTGTAACCCCGCTCTTTCACCTGTTATTTAAAGTGATGCGAGTCTCTACAATTACCATTCTTTTTAATATCAACACATCCACCTATCTATACATACATACATACATTCTCTTCTCATATTCTTTTCTCTCCTGGAACTGAAAAGAACTCGTGGGAAATCAAAACGTGTTCCCCCTCGCCAAGGATAATTCGCAGACATGGCAGCAGCAACAACCCCGTCCTTTGACATTCCCAAACAATATAAAGCGATTGTTTACGACAAACCGGGAACTATTTCCACAAAAATCGAGCAATTAAACACACCTGAGCCCGGACCCGGCGATGTGCTTGTGAGACTGTGAGCTCACGCTGTGCCGTTTTTATCGATGTGATTTCGCTGATTGTGCTGTCTTGTGTAGTACCCATAGTGGTGTTTGCCACAGTGATATGGGAATCTGTGAGAATAGTTGGCGTGGTCGTAAGCTTACTGCATCAGTTAAGTATACGATGATGGTCTAATGCCTTGAAAGTTCCTTATCCGACGCAAGCTGGGCAAGTCGGCGGCCACGAAGGTGTTGGAGTCGTCCACAAATTAGGCCCAGGCTCGGAGAATGGTCGAGTGAAGGTTGGTGATCGTGTTGGAATTAAAGTGAGTTCATTTCGAGAACCTAGGGGACCATTATTAATTGAGAATCTTCAAAGTGGATCGCCTATGCTTGTGGTTCTTGTCTTCCATGTCTCGAGGGTAAAGATGGAGTTTGCTTCGTAAGTAACCCCAAATTCTGAATCCGCCTTATAGTTCAAGACTAAATCTTTCGTTTTGTAGAATCAAAAAATCTCTGGCTATTATTGTTCGTGAATCGAGGCTTTCCTAGTGGGTGAGATTTCTAATTCAAGAAAACAGACCCGGGACATTTCAACAATATGCGCTCGCGCCAGCGAACTATGTAACACCAATTCCAGATGCTCTGGATTCTAAGGACGCTGCTCCTCTACTATGTGCTGGAGTCACGACGTGAGTTTTCACAGCCTCAATTCGGTCGCTTGGGCGGCCGGGCCGCCTCAGGGGCCGGCCACCCCTCGAGTAGGCGAAGCTCACAGAAACTTTTGAGTTTAGATATTCAGCCTTGAGAAAGAGTGATGCTAAGAGTGGACAATGGGTTGTTATCGGTACGGTCATCTCCGAGTTTCGTGAAGTCTTCAAACTAACATACAATAGCCGGTGCGGGCGGTGGTCTTGTAATCTCCTCCCCAGAATCTCTAATCGGGTCGCATACTAACCTACCTAGGGCCACTTAGCTTGTCAAATCGGAAGTCGTGGTATGGCAATGAGAATCATTGGAATTGACCATGGAAGTAAGGAGGAGTTGGTGAAAGAATGCGGAGCAGAAGTCTTCATAGATCTCACCAAATTTGACGATAAAGCGATTGCAGAGGAAGTCAAAAGAGTCACTGGTGGGATCGGAGCATCTGCTGTCATTGTGTGCACTGCTTCTAATCGCGCTTATTCTCAAGCGCTTAGCTTTTTGAGATTCGGCGGAACGTTGGTCTGCGTTGGAATGCCAGAAGGCGATTCCCAACCTATAGCCAACTCATTCCCTGCAGCCATGGTAAAAATCTCCATTATCACATTTGTAGCATGCGCTAATATCAACAGGTCGCCCAAGAATGGAACATCAAGGGTTCGGCAGTAGGTAACCAACGTGAAGCATTGGAGGTACTTGAGATGGCGGCCCGGGGAATTATTAAGACTCGTATTCGAATGGAGAAGATGGAGAACTTGACGGAAGTGTTCAAGGAGATGTCGGAGGGTAAAATGCAAGGAAGAGTCGTGCTTGATCTATCATAGTGGGAGAGGGGGCAACTTGCATTTGCCACACATAAGTTATCATGCAGGGGAAATTCTTTTGAGGATTTCTACAAGCACCATCGAACAGAGCTGAGATATGAATGGCAGACATATGATGAAAATATGAAACGATTTCCTGAAATATGTCACACCGAGGGGTAACTCTCTTTCGATATTTGTGGATTGTGTTCTTAAAGTAACACTGTGCCTACATGCTGATACCCAATCCCATCTGCAAAAGGCGATATCACCATTGATGCCTCCAAATGCCATGCTCGCGATGATTGTATGATTGGTAGAAATATCACAAGCTGAATGATTTGGTACCGGCAGTTTGGTAACTTCCAAAATCTTACATGTTACATCAGTACCGTATCATAACCGAAAGACCTCTAGAAGTTCCTGGAAACTTGAATGCGTCGAGAGTTGACATGCTAGTTTAAGATTTGCTGCCATGCGAAGATGTGGATGAGAAACGAATTTTGTGGCCCACTTGCCGCGCTGCGCCACGAACATAGCAATATCCTTACCACCTTCATTTTGTCACTTGACATTCAAATGATGCGGAAGAGTGCCCGAACATGCAGGAATAACGCGTCTGTTTCTTTTTTAGGTTGAAACTTCTAACTTCGATTGGAAACAATACGGGGTGGTGAAGAGAGTGGCCTAATACACTACTGCAATGCACCAACTCCGAAAGTTTCTTGAGTGCTTAAGTGTCATACTTTTCATTTCTTTCGTCGTAATGTTGACCATTAATAGTTGAGGAGTGATGAGTGCCCAGCGTCCAACTCAAGGCCACAATCCCGCAATCCTCAATCCCCCTACTGCAGTTAACAGTCGACCCCGGGGCGATCCATAATGAACGTCGAGTTATTTCCATGACCACTTATTTCATTCGTCACTCCTTTTGCGGTAATGATTGTTGCAATTAGCATAACGATGGCAAAGAGTAGGCGAATTAATGATGAAGGGGGAATTGGATGAATCGAGGATTGAAGGAGTGAGCCTTACAGTCCTCCAGCACTGAATATAGATACCCCATCTATAGATCTTTTGAAGGAATTTCATGAATTTAATTGGTTGAATGTTTCAATCAGCTTGAATGTCAGCCTGGTCCACCTATTAGTTACTACCTTGATACTTGTGTGTACTGGCTCGAGACTGGTCGCTTATCGTATGTAATCTATCCGGCTGTTCTGTTGTTTCGGGGTTTTGTATGGCTCTCCGTCAATTGGTCTCTCCGTCCGTGCTTTTGGAATTTCTCCGCCATCCCATCTTTCCAATCCCAATAACACCATCTCGAGACCATCCAGTATCGTCCAACCAAAATTTAACGCCGCAAGCGACTATTGTGGCTTGACTCCATACATCTACTTGATTATGCTAGGTGCATCGCAAACTATTACCAAAATGGCATAGTAACAAAGTGCCAACAAGTCTACATCGTACATCATACATCTTATTCATATGAATGCCTTGTCCTCCTACCCAGCCGACCTCCAAAAGGGCCCATGCGACCGGATTTGTGACCTACTAATGATACCAAATTTTGTTACTATTCCAAAGGCTGAGCATCCATTGCTTTTAATCCTCTGCATACTAACAAAATGACGAAAAAATTTATAGGTAGGAGGAGGGAGAAAGCACAAGTTCGTAAAATATATAAGTCACAAAGTCGTCAGCATCATCATGGGATTTACACATTGATATCCTACGCGTATTTACCTTCATGTCGTCCCCGCTTCCAAATTTCTGCGACCTCTATATCAGCAAGACCATGCATGCAACACGTAGTGGTCAGATCTACTCCCATGAACCCTTGAGAAGGGAAGTTACTTCTGGTGACGGGGATTCTGATAGCGATAGCAACTATTCAGGATACCCCGATAATGACGACGGCGATGAAGAACATAATCAGGGCAGAGAGAGAAGACCCCAGGAATTTGGCGTCTTCTCGGAGGATGAAGATTCTGACGATGAAGCACTACACACTGTGCTCGCTGTCGATCATTGCAGATTGGTACGATCAAGGAGACAGTCAAGGGAGCAATTGAGTCCATACTTCGCTTTCCAAGTTGGTGTGGCGGAGGTTGAAACCCGCAGTATTCGAATTGGCTCATTAAGGCAAGGAGGAGAAGAGAAGTGCTCGTGCGGAAAAGAGCTTTGCTTCCACGTTGCCAGGCTGAAGTCGGCAATGGGCATAGACGCCGGCGACGACTGTTACGAACGCCTTAACGAGCGTGGCATGTCCAATGTATGTGAAGACCTTGGATGGGATTTCTCAGACGAACCTTATCTTTTTCCAGCCCCTCAATGGTCGCTTAAGAATGAGAGACCAAGGACAAGTACAACAACCCGCGAAAGGGAGGCTGACGTCAGGGACATGTTATCATTTTTTCATCCACAAGCAGTGGCAGACGAGTACCGAGATATTTTTGATTTCGCTGTGCACAACGACGCCGTCCTTGTTCCCTATAACCTGGAAGCAACTCTGGCCAAATTACTGACTCAAGATGATGTCATCTTTCATCGATTTGAACAACACATCCCCAGAGAGCGCCGTGATATTATGTATCTACACAAGATGGAGGACAAATTCAACGAATCACTCCGACAACTAGATGACTATGCAGCTTCCGGCAATCTTTCAAATTGGGATGCCATGGCGCCATTCGACAACGTTGGTTTTGAACACAATGTACCATGGTGTGCCCAAGCTCTCATACACATCAGTGACTCAATGAGGGACAATCTGAGGTGGAGAGTCGGTATGAGTAGGAATAATCAACTACAAGCAGCAGCAACGTTGATCCGAATGCTGGAGGCTATTCGCTCGCGCAATGTCGACGTATACTCTAACCATTCTTTTCGGCGCAACAGACCTCACGGAGAACAGTTAACGAATCGAAACCTCTACTTGAACTTACTTGGTCCACAATCTGAGAATGTTCCAGATAGAAGCGACTTTATTATTGATGCACTTGAATATTTGCCTGGGAACGTCGTTGCCGCAGGTGATTTTGTCAATCGCTTAGATCGTCTTCGCGCCGACTTGAGCAGTGTAGCATTCGTTTCTCCGAGACGACTTTATGTGAACAGATTGGGACAGCTCATTTCAAAGCTCAGAGTAAATTATGGGCTTCCTCCAGTTTCTGTTTCGTCAGCCAGGCCGGCTGCAAGCGCTGCTTCTACCGACCTCAGCTCTTCCTACAGTGTTGGACCAAGCGCTTCGTCGTATGCCGTAGCTGGCCCGTCGTCTCTCGAAGTACCTGATTCTTCTTTAAGAAATAGACGAGGTTCCTCAACTCGTTCAACATTGGGAAAGCGGTCCGGCAGATCTGCTAGTTCCAATGATCGACGTGGAAAACGCGCCATGAAGTAAAGCTTGCCAGACAAGATTGACTTATGGTCGTCAGTGGAAGGTTAGAATTCATTGTTTGTTATTTTCTTATCTTCGTGTATATCATCTCATGGTCAGGTACCATCAGATTCATGTTCTATTTGCAGAATTTTTTTACTGTATTTTTTTGGGAATGTTGAAATATTGTTTCATACCAGATACCATTTGGCGTATAATGTTTAGAAAACATCCTTACTAGACTAGAAGGGGATACTGTAGAGGTGCTGAGATGTGCTATCTATATTTTTCAGATTGTTTTAGTGCACTTCAAGGTAGCGCTACAAAAATATTATTTATTGTCCCCTCATAAAGTGCCCAAATTCCTCAGGCATTGCACCGGATTCGTTATCATATCTTTCTACTCGGGGCGAAAGATAGTAAGTAGCGAGGGAGGGATCTCTCGAAACCCTTCTCATATCATTTGTAGTCCCGACTTTTTCTCTTTTTCAATGGCCTCGTCATCCACTATGATGACAGGTTTCCCTTTCATTCTGCCTGAGTGAGCGAGCTCCATTGCCTTGGGAATCTCTCCCAAGCCTTTAAATGGGTTTGTTTGAATTTTAATGTTGTGCTTTGATACTAATTCTAGCATTTTTTGTGCTTCGCCTTGGGATCCTACACTCCTGGTCAGATAATGATTGTGGGGGCCAGGGACCACATCAACTTACCAACAAGACTTCCATGGATTCTGATATCCCGAAAAAGCAAATCTTCAAATGGGACGCTAATTTTCTCGGGCTGAGCAATCTGAATCATCGTTCCGTCTATTTTGGCGAACTTGGGGTCAGCAAACCTTTATAATTAAAATTGTTGGAGGAGAAAGAAGCTCATTCTCGTCAACGTCATAATGCTGTTAGGCATATTGTAGAACGGAAAATAACTTACGCCTCTTTGTAACGGCGATCGCTGTTGCTGCAGCGCTTTCATGATCACTAACGTTGATAGTCGAGTTTGCACGATGGCCGCCCGTGACCCTCTCGACATCTTCTATAACTTTGTTTTTATCTTGACGTGCATCTACCAACACATCAGCGCCACAGTCTTTAGCAAGTTGTAACGCTTCATCTCTAGCATCAATAGCAATGACTTTAAGACCTAGCGCTTTAGCAAACTGCACCCCCAAATGACCTAGACCTCCACCCGCTCCTACTATTGCTATCCATTCTCCCGATTTCAAGCCCGCTTTCGCGAGACCGCTCCCTAATTTTGCACATATTTTAGTATCGCATAAATTTAAATTCAGAAGTTGAAGTTGAACGGTCAGAATCAGAATCAGAATCAGAACATGAAATGCAGACTTACAAATAGTGATTCCAGCACAAGCCAATGGAGCCGCGGATTCAAAACTCAAATTATCCGGTAACAAATTGCACTCCCTTCCATCAACAACCTCATACTCGGCAAATGACCCATCTCTGCGAACGCCCAGATACCCTCCGCTATGATCACAATACTGCTGTACATGCTCGGGCCCGGTACAATCTGAACAGACGCCACAACGATGATAAGTCAAGCTACATAGGATGCGATCTCCTGGCTTGAAGCCTGACACGCTAGAGCCTATAGCGACAATGGTGCCGGCTCCTTCATGCGAGGCGGTACACGGGAGGGGCGTGCCCAGTACGCCTTCCAGTACCATACCATCTGTGTGACAGAGAGATGCCGCGGCCACACGTACTAGTATATCGTGTTCGTGGAGGGGACCGCGTGGAGTGGGGATGTGGTGGATCTTGTAGGGTTTATTGAACTGAATGATGTGTTAACCTAACCTACTATCTCTCGTATCCGGGTGAATACATCCTCGATTTCATTTTCGTCCGAATGAGCTCTTTCGATGGAGTATCACAGTGCATTTTTGAAAAAGAAATACCTACTTCAACGACTTGTGCTGCAAGCATCTTATCGGGAACTCCTTCGAATGCCATTTTGATATGAGTGAGTGCGTGAGTGAGTGAGTGAGTGAGTGTGAGGGTGTGTCGGAGCTAGGTCAGATATTTGGTTTATTATGTGTTTATAAATGATAAACCGGGTGAGCAACTGTAGGGTACCTTCCTCATGTACAAATGTTGTGGCAATCGATGGGTGGTTGTGTTAAGTTGACTACTCGATTCGATTCTGCATTTACGTCATTATATGTAACTGGCTATTTGTAGGAGAAAAAGACGACTGACGAAACCCTTCAATAATCTAATTGTTCCACTTCACGTCAGGGAATTAAAAAGTTTGGATGGTATTATAACTGAATAATATCTAAGGATTTGCTTGATACTATTGACTCTTATAGTTTTGTTTATAATTGATTTAACTAGAGAATTTGTTATGGTGGTCAATTTGGACCTCTTTTTGTTCTATGAATAGACTGGCTGATGATGATACCTACCGAATTGAAATGAAAATGCTTCTGTGATTGTTGATTAATGAGATACATAGGAAGATAGACTATTCATCGGAGAAGAAGCAAATTAGAATTGACGACTGGCAAAGCCCTTCAACAACCCAGTTGTTCTCCTTCAATTCAGAGAATCAAAAGTTTTGATTTCTTATAGAATTTATAAGGATGAATTTGGGTCTCTGTTTTCTCCTATATAATCTATAGGTAGGTAGGTAGGTGATATTATGAATGGAATGGAACGAATGAAAATGAGTTAAAATGGAATAATACTATGTATATACTTTTGAGTTCAAAAGCTCTTGCAATAGAGTTGGAGAGAATAGGAAGGAAGCCTTTGTTTATTGTGTTGTGTTGTGTTGTGTTGTGTTGTGTTGTATTATATTGTATTTGTATTGTATTGTATTGTATTATAACCTTATTCATAGGTGGTTGATGAAGATATCATACTACCGTTGTAGGATATACCTAATATACCTAGTATACCTATCTACCTGGTATGTCAATCTTTCAACAGCATCGAGAATTGCAATACCTAGCACGAGTAAATAGTCGTGATACTTTTATATGTACATGTGGGAGTGAATACTACGAATTGTCTTATATTATCGTCTTCCCAGCCACTATCATTTTAACATTAATATTGTCTTACTATCGCCATCACCACGACCACGACCACGGGCACCCAGACATTTCACCCTGAGGAAGAGCTTGGATAGACAACATCACCGTGCATTTTCATACATTTACCCCTTCCAATCCCGTCCAACAACAATCCAAAAGTACAAAAGTACAACGATACAACAGGAATATATACTTTCCCCCTCTTCACTAATGCACTAATATCCCCGTACCTGCTTCGATAACGCTTACTGATAAAGCACTCACAAGGTTGATATCACAATTGATGAACTAATAGAACTGCACAGCATCACACGTGGTAGCTTTGGGAGAAGCTATGCCGCAATATAAAGGGAGGTCAAGCTTCCAGAGCTCCAAGTATTTGGGAAGCTCGAGATCTCATCATACTGAGAGGCTTCGGAAGATTGCACTCTTTCTCGTTATTTGCGCTTTCCTATATGCTTCGTACATCATGCTCTTGGATCAAATACTTTTATTGTCCCTCACCGGTGTGACGGCTTCAGCCTTGCTTCCCGAGAAACAGCCATGTTCATCTTCTACAAACGATGTTCCGCAGTATTTTCAGACAACTCCCGAACTTTGGGCCGGACCAACAGCGACGGGTAGAGCTCCTTTCCTAGTAAGTAATAGAACAGGGACAGCCCGCCTGGCTTTAGATTATAAGGAATCTCTATGAATTCAAAATTAATTTACTGTTTGATTTAGGCCCAGACAAATCCAGTCTCGTTTGCACCAACTGTGACTTTCGTGCCAAATACTCCTCTCGAGACTGCCCAGCCTATTGTAGGGCAAGGTCAGAATGACAGTATTTTCCATCTTATGGGACATCTCACTCCTTACGTGCCTAATCCATCTGGATTTGGCGTTGCAGAATATCCATTACCACCTGGAGCTAAGATTGCTCAACTTCAGGTAAGAATTTCAGATATTCGAGAATACATGTGGTTCTCAATTTGACCAACTCCACTTGAGTGTTTAATAAATTCCCAGTGGAATTGTATATATAATTAACCTCGGTCAAGACATGTATACATATCGTTTAGATACTCTAGAGGAGGTTCCATTGTTTAAGCTCTTTATGTGCATCTAAAAGCTTCGGCAACATGTTTCTAAATTATACAGAAATATCATATATGCTGATAACTTCCAGATGCTTTCACGCCATGGAGCACGCTATCCCACGTCAGGAAGCAATGTTGCAACCTTTGGTGAAAAGGTCGCAAACTACACGGGAAAAATCGATGCTACTGGGGCTCTGTCGTTTTTGAATGATTGGAAGTACGAATTAGGTCATGAGATTCTAGTTCCTCGTGGAAGGCAAGAACTGTACGATAGTGGCATTTTGCACTATTATCAATACGCTCAATTATATAACCCTCACAGCAAAATTATCGCTCGCACTACCACTCAAGATCGAATGCTCAAGGTTTGTCGTCACTTCCGCAAATCCTAACATGACACTAATTAATGGTAGAGCGCTGAATACTTCATGGCTGGATTCTTTGGTCTCGAATGGACAAATAATGTCACTATCGAAGTCATCATTGAATCGACTGGCTTCAATAACAGCTTGGCAGGTTACGATAATTGTCCTAATGCAAACAATTATAGAAGTGCTGGAGGAAACAATGCTACAAACCAATGGGTAGCTACATATCTACAGAATGCCACCGCTCGTTTCCAGTCCATGGTCTCGCCGGAGTTCAATTGGACTGTCGTCGATACCTACGCAGCACAAACCATGTGCCCATATGAGACTGTGAGTATAATGTTTCTATTTACATCTATTCCCCATGGTCTAACATGATGTAGGTGGCATATGGCTACAGTGCCTTCTGCAATCTATTTACCTATGAAGAATGGGCCGGCTTCGAATACGCGATTGACCTTTACTTCGCGGGTGGAAATTCCTTCGCTTCTCCTACTGGTCGCGCTGTTGGAATCGGCTATGTCCAAGAAGTAGTCGCCCGTCTTCAAAACCATACCTTGGGTTACTCCGGTTCCCAAATCAACACTACCTTGGACAACAACATCGCTACCTTTCCCCTGAACCAATCCATCTACTTTGATTTCTCCCACGACACAAACATCATGTCGATTCTCACCGCTTTCGGCTTCACACAATTCGCTGAAGCCCTACCAGCTACCCATCATCCTGGCCCGCACAACCTGACCGTTTCGCACATGGAACCCTTTGGCGCAAGATTAGATATAGAGATTATCAAGACACCAAAACCTCTAGCAGCAGATAGGACATACGTAGATGGAAAGGAAACTACGTATGTACACTTTATCCTCAATCAGAGAACGTTACCTTTAGGGTTCAGTTTTCCAGAGTGTGGGGCTGATAGGTTGGATGGTTGGTGCGATTTGGATACGTTCTTGGACGTGCAGAGTAAATCGACAAAGGATGCTCAGTATGAGTATGCTTGCTTTGGTGATTATCCTGCGGAGCCATATGGGAGTGTTACGAATGGCGTGCCAAGTTCTTAGGAGTAAAAATTCGAGTCGTTTAAATTTCCGTGTCTTTCGTATGTTACAGGGTATTAGCCAATGAACTGGATTTCTGTATAAATTAGGGTATAGCTGAATAGCAAGAAAATGAGGGTGTACGTAGATGAGCTAAATTCACATTAGAATTCAACCAATAAGCTAGTATACATGTCTATTTGATCTATTTGTAGCTTATTATCATCTACGTCTTAGAATATACAAGTAGGTCTATAAGAGCATTCAGAGCATTTTAAAGATTATGAGCATATGAAACATTTAGAGTCTTCAAAGTATTTTAAAGACTTGAAGTATTCAAAATATTCAACACATTCTAATATCAACATTAACTTACACTCACCCCATAACAAATATACCCACCGTACCCACCGAAGATAACATATTAATTACTCAAAGTTGTCTTCCATTATAAATAGCTTCGTTTCTGATCAAAGTAGTACATATACATTAAATCCTCGTTAACAATCTCTCGATACTCCAATCGTAGATCCTCAGATACCACAAAGTCCATCTTGCGCTACGCAAGATACTTATTAAACCACTCTATACCCTGCTCCTCACAATCATCCATCGCCTTCTTATCCCTCTCCTCACCCCAATCACTCCTCAGCGCAAACCCATGAATCTGGCCCTCGTAAATCCTCAATTCATGCGGCAACTCCGTCTTCTTCGCCATCAAATCCTGAATCTGCCCCACCGTCCCTCGATCCAACAAACTATCCTGATCCCCCACCGCCAAACTCAACGGTTTCGCCACGCTCTCGAAATCCGCCGGCACAGAAACCAACGACGGGTGACACGCCACCGCCGCGTCAACCTCTCCATGCGCAGCCAATATCGCATAGCGTCCTCCCCAGCAAAATCCCAACGCGCCCACTTTTCCCGTACCGGGAAGCCCGCGAATGTGCGCGATGAAGGAGGAGATAAGCGGTCTGCTGACTCCCTCGCGATGTCTGACGAGCCAGGGCGGCAGCGTGGTGGCGACCACGCCGGTGGCCTTGGTTTTTTCCAAAAGCGATTGCTGCTCCCGAATTTGGAGGGGCGGCTCGACGCTCTGGAGAAAGGAAAGCGGAATGCTGTCTCCTCGGTGAACGTCGGGGATGTAGACGTAGAACCCGGCTTTGGCGTAGTTGTCGGCTAGGAGACGGACGTTTTTGAATTCGTAGCCGAAGACTGGTGAAGGGGTTAGTGGGGGTGGGGACGGAAATGGAGGTGTCTGTGGATGCACGTACTGTCGACGAGAAATATGATTGTCTTGGCTTTCGAGCCGTCTTGGGGCTCCGCAATGTAGGTGGAGAGATCATTGATTACTTCGACCCTTCCTGTGGGCGTACCTTCGTGCACTTTGCCCGACAGACAGCAGGAGGACATTCCGACGTTTGTAGACATGGCGTTTGAATTGCTGATGTATACAAAGTGTGCAAAAAGGAAATTAAAAGATTAAGGTGGTAAGAGAAGACGTGAGCAAGGAAAATAGCTGTATTGCGAGAAGGACTTCATCAAGCTATAGATGTAGGTGCCTTCATTAAGGTTCCAAGTATGACGTCTGCCGCTAACTTGCTAGCTAGAGTCTAGACAAGCCATTTTGTCCACTCTGATACTAGTGCTCGGTATAATAGTGTATCCGGGCCGCTAGTAGGCACACTAGATACTCGGCGTCTAATAAGGATGCAGATCAGTGCAAAATGTCGTGGCGTTACTTTTGGTAAATTCAAAGATTATTGCCTGCAAAGGCATGCCGTATATTGTTTTCCAAGCAGGCTGCATGGCTACCTGGATAACGGAATTGGGGTCCATGATGACACTGCAATTTCATGAATGTCTGCAAGTATCTAGTTTGTATGCTATTCGAAAATAATAATTGCTTATAAACTCCTATATGACAGAGTAGTTTGTATATATGATTTACCTAGGCACACAATGCGTGAAACTCCATGTAAATGCGTATATCTTCTCGGTTAGACCCAGAACGCCCCCCTTGTTTTCCGTTTCCGACCTCACTGAGATAAATTAAAGTCTCGCAATGCTCCCCATATTCATTTATAACCCAAATGTATGTATGGCTATATGCGCCAAACCAATCTCAAGCACTGATCGCCATCTCTGACTTAAGTTCGGTAAGAGGTGCATTTTCCACTTCTCCCAAAGACGAAGAATCGGCTGGATCCTCAAGACTTCGACTCTTCTTTTGCTCTCCTCCATCATCTTCAGTATTCTTTCTCTTTTTCTTTGCTGCTTTTGCCTCCGCCTTTGCTTGCGCTTGTTTTAGCTTATGCTCCTCGACCTGCTTATCAGAGATCCCAATCTTCTCGTCTACATCGATTGCCTGCTCGAGCAAAGCCTTATGATCTAAATGCTCGCATAGTTGTTGGTAATTCTTAGACTGCTGAACAGCTCTATAAACTGGTTCTTTTCCCGGTATCAGGTGGTTCAAAAGGTATTTCGTATTTCCGAATCTGTTCTCTGTATCCAGGCAAAATTTCATGTATTGATGGACCACCTCCTCCCAGGGCGCTATACCACCGTCGGCTTCACTTCTGAAACAACTTGAATTCGCTTCGGCAGCAACAGCAATCATGCCGCCATTTGTACCGTACTCTTCGGCTAATTTCAATGCTTGATCTCTATTTTCCACGTCTCCGTTCATCAAACAAGCGACGCCACTATCCCGACAGATATCTGCAATCATTTTAAGTTGCTCTCGAATCGCTCTTTCTCTCGGGCGCATTGGTGTAGTTCGGCAATGAATAGTGAGTCCTGTAATTCCTGTAGCGCAAAGCTTCCGTACCAGAGCCTCAGTTTTTTCGGGGGTTTCCAGCAATCGAATTTTCACACTGATTCCAATCTCGAATTCCGGCACGATTTCCTTGACCAAAGCTTCGAGAATGGCGCATAATTTATCTGGGGTCTGTAAGAGAGCTGCCCCCATACCGCCACTTGTACTAAAGGGTTTCGGACATCCTGCATTTACGTCTATGCCTGCCACGTCTGCGGCCACTATACGCGCACATTGTACTGCTCGTTCAGGGTCGGATGTGCCGATTTGAAATATGAGTTTTTTGCCTTCGAGTTCTGGATGTAGGCGAAAGATGAGACTTTCGTTTAGATTTGCATTCTTCTCCTTATGGCCTTGGGATGGAATTCGGGTAAAATCGATTGTATTAAGACGGCTGTTGACTTTGCGTGTCGTCCCAATCATGGATCGATCGACCGTTTCAGGGCCTATAGGCTTGTCAGTTTATGTGGCCAGCTAGTACGAGCGTAGAATCTCTACCCCAGACTAAATCTGCTCCATAGTGGAGAGCAAGTAATCGTGAAGGGAGTTCACCGGACCTAACCATAGGAGCACTATTCCGTAGTGTTAATTTAATTCGTAACTGCCATTTGCGACACATTTGACTCACAGTACAACCTTGCCTCTATAGTCTACTCCCTTCCTAGGAATAGGAACTTTCTTGGGAATTGATGTCATGACAAAAGATGCGAGACGTTGCATGACATTGTATTTCTGAATATATATTGTCTTGAACCAGAAAATGGAAAAGAAAAAGTAATGCCGTCACAAACTAGAAAATAATTTCACTATCTATTGACACGTGACTTAGATAAGAGAATAGTGGGTGGGACAGAGATAGCGCTAGTACATGGGGCATCTCGAGGACATCTTAACCCATATGAGCCATACATACTACGGAGTACTCTTCACTTCACTCGTTATACAAGTTGTCGACCCCCTTATATTGAAGTGATAATGTGGTATTATTCGCTAAATGCTAGTCCTCATCCCATCGTAAAAACTAATTGCCATATTGCAATCTTGAAACAGACTACTTGAATGTAGAAAATTCAGATATTCGAAATCCAGTCGCTAGGTTAACGCCTTTCCGTCACATCAAGCTCAAAATTTGTCTTCCATTCCATCCCTGTGTCGTCTCCCAAAGAAATTCAAGGTATCGTTTCTCGTTACTAATCGCAAGACGCGTTGTAAAGGTGTTTTGAACTGATATCCTGTTAGAATGTCTCTTCTTGATAACAGTGGAGATATGATAGAACTTACTGCTCTTCAACGAAAGCAGTTGAGTCCGCAAAGACGCATACGCCAGACAGGTTTTCTGACACCATGCCTATCTGCAGTTATGTTTGCACCGAATCTTCTGCCTCCAACTCCTTTAGACCAGAACAAAGGCATAGTTGCGAGTTATGTGGTATGAGTATGTGATTTGGTTTGTTGTGTGGGCAGTGGCTGGTAAGTAAGATGGAGATATCGATTGTGTTTGTATTTGTGGAATATTGTGGTTGAGATTTGATATGGGGGTATTGTTCATGATAAATATATCCAGAGTATTCACACGATGTGGCTGGCAGTGGATGATGCCGATGACCTCTTTGGTTCCTCAAAACCTGTTTGCTGGCTTGGCACAAGAGATGAATGGGGCTTTGCAATTCTCAGCCGCTTTGAACTCCAGAAAACAACAAACAAACTTTGGGCTATTGTTTCATTATCTTCATATCAAGTTATCTGGCCGAGTAAACTATATGATTTCCCTGTTTTTAATCCTGAGCTAAGATATGCAACAGACGGGAAGTTTTGACACTTGCTTGAAAGCAATTGAACCCTTTATGAATACGCTAGCTATTATTTTCCGAATGACTTATTAACTCTACCTACCAGACCAAGAAAAGTTAATGGGAATGAGCCCCAAATTCCCATTGTGAATATTTGGCGCTAACCTGGACACTCGATAGCTTCATAGTTTCGTTGTCAATCCTTAATGCCAATTTCTTGGTGAGATACTCTGCATTAAATGACTCGAAAAAAGCATCATGGACATCCAAGTTTATCTTAAACATTGAAATAAGCTATGATATCAACTTCAGATATCAACTTCAGATATCAACTTCAAATACCCAGGTAGGTAGGTGGCTGTCATGGAATGTTGGAAATAAGGTTTGCCATTAGAATACTTTACATTGAACAGCCGAATACCCCCTTTTGATAGGTTTTACATATATGGGCATTTGAAATCTTCACCTTATTGATGGAGATTCCGATTCAATCTCCTTCGGATATCGGTGTAGAGTATGACTGCATGGCGATCGCCCCTGAGCATCATGTACCGCCGTCCGCGTGCGCGCATAGCCAGCCCTACCAAAACAGGGCCCCCAACTTCTGATGGTCTAATATAATAGTTGGCTCCCTTGTTCGGGAGAAGTACTTGTTACTTTAACATTTTTTGATGTGCTTTTCATCAAAATAAGAATGTATTGTTACAAAATCCTTATTTAATGTATACAACTATTGATTTGGAAGCCAATATGATATACTCCATAGCTATTGTTGGACTTGAATCAAATGAGACAGTTCAGGGATGGTGATAAGATAATTTTTGTAGTCCAAAGATTGATCGGGGTAGCTTGAGGGACAAGTGATTCCCCGAGACAAGTGCTTTCCCCAACCAGGAACTACTCGGCCGCTAAACAGAGTCGGCTAGAACTATTACAACTTAAAGCCGTGATACTCAATCTTTAACGCATCTCATTCGCTAAATCATCACAATTTGTAGTACAACTGTTGGTAGTGCTTGAAAGTATTTACTTGATGATTTCCTTACTTCTTCTTCCCAAACATTATTAACTTATCTTCTGTACAACTCGAACCCGACTAAAAACATCAACACTCAAACCTCAAAATGGTATTTCTAGCTGAGAAGACGGTGGATATACCTACAAAAGATCTCTTGTCATGGACATTTGATAATGTTCCCTATGATCAAGATGCTATGGTAAGACACCCTTCTGTAAACTGGTTGAAATTATCATATACTGATATACTTGTAGATATATATCGATGCGGCAGATCCCTCTCGATCCATATCTGCAAGCCAAGCTCGAATCATCATCCGTCAATTAGTCGCGGGATTTCATGCTGCTGGGTTGAAGAAGGGTGACTGTGTGTGCTTACATTCGTTTAATGATGTGAGAAGTTTGAGTCCCTCTAGTTTCGAAAGTCTCTAACTGTACAAACGCAGATCTATTATTCCATGATCTTTCTAGGTACTTCAATCTTATGTCATGCCACTGATTTTACTTTAACTCACGTCGTATGATTACAGGTATTATAGCAGCGGGTGGAGTATATACGGGCACAAATCCATCATATACTTCCCACGAATTAACTCATCATATCAAGACTTCGCGAGCAAAGTTTCTTATCGCAGAGCCTGAGATTCTCACGAATGTTCTAACCGCTGCCAAAGAATGTAATATCCAGTCTTCAAGTATTTGGATCTTTGATGTCCTCGGACAAACGGTTCCTGATTCTTTCAAATCTTTCAGAGATTTGATGAAGCATGGCGAGGAAGACTGGGTAAGATTTGACAATGAAGAGACAAGTAGGAAGACAACTGCTGCTAGGCTATTTAGTAGTGGAACTACAGGGCCACCGAAAGCAGCGGCGTTGTCCCATTTCAATTTAGTTGCGCAGCAGTACGTAAACGATTCACAAGTCTTGCAGTATTTGACACCTACTTCTGTCCCCGGATCATAAGGCCCACTCATGAAATCCGTTGGTTTCTGTTTCCTGATGTAACCTTTGTTCCTCACTTTCGTCCGAAACCTGCCATTGATAGGCAATACTAACTTCCTGGTCTTTAACAGTGTTCTTGCTTATGAACAAGCGCCGAGACCGTATACTGTTGGCGCTTCTAGCTCTATTCATCACAAGTTTTAAATGCTAACAAAATCACTTCAGATTCGTCGAATACTAGCACTACCGATGTTTCATGTAGCTTGTATCCCTGGTGTGTAGCCCATCATTGATTTCCTGACAGAGAACCACTAAATCAGAAAACAGTTGCTCATACAACCGCCTTGAAAGGTGGACATGTTTCTGTCGTAATGCGTCGCTTTGAACTTATTCCCTATCTCAATAATGCCGAGAAATATCAGATAAACGAAATAATGGTAGTCCCACCCATCGCAATTGCAATCATCATGTCCGGTGTCGCGGGAGACAAATTAAGATCCATTAAACACGCGGGGGTTGGGGCAGCGCCTATGGGGAAAGAATCCCAAGAGAAATTGAAACAGTTATGTGCTCCGGGAGCAACACTAACTCAGGCTTTTGGAATGACAGAGACAAGTTGTATCTGTGCCCAGTTCTGGTTCTGGGAGGACGACACAACGGGTAGTGTAGGGAGAATGCTACCAAATATTGATGCAAAGTTTGCTTTCCTGCCCCTTTCCTGCTTCAATATCAAATGCTGATATAGAATCATCAACTAGAATTATCGACGAGGATGGAAATGACATAACAGCTTATGACGTCCGCGGTGAACTTTGTGTACGCGGTCCGACTATCATCGCTGGTTACTGTAAGTCTCCGTTTTCCTTGTCAGAATATTCGAAAGTTCGACTTAGCAGATCAAACATTACCTCCCAAGATACGAGAAACTGTGGACTCTTATCATTATTTGACTTGATGAAATTATTATTGTTCTTGATAAGATCAATCTTCCAAGCAATTTCAAAGTTTTAACCGATGTGGGGAATCTGCCTCCCCCTTTTATTGTTCAATTGATCTTCGGGCTATTGCAGGCTTTCTCCACCGAATAAGCGTACTAAAATTAACCGGTTTGCAGTTGAAAATGAAACAGCTAACCGTTTATCCTTCGACTCCGATAACTTCTTCAAAACCGGCGACATCGTTTACTGCGACTCAAAGACCAAAACATGGTACATAGTAGACCGCAAAAAGGAGCTAATAAAAGTGAGAGGTTTCCAAGTTGCACCGCCAGAGATCGAGTCCGTACTTCTCTCGCACCCATTGATAGTAGATGCAGCTGTTATTGGCGTCAAGGGATCGGATGCAGATGGAGAAATGCCCAGAGCTTATGTAGTAAAGAGATCTGGCGAGGAAAGTAAGGATCTAGAGGAGAAAGACGTGAAAGAATGGTGTGGAGAGAGATTAGCGAGATATAAGGAATTGACCGGGGGAGTCGAGTTTATAGAGGCTATTCCGAAGAATGCAAGTGGGAAGATTTTAAAGAGGATATTGAGGGAGCAAGCGGATAAAGAGGGTAAGACGGCCAGACTCTAATGCTAGATTGTTATAAAGTGATGAATTGTGCGATGGTAGGATAATAAGGGATTTAATGGCAGTTTTCACGAGGGAAAAAAAAGGACATGCAATGAAATTTCAATGTTTGAAGCAATATAGGTTCTCTGTTTGTTAACTTCGTCCAAAGAAACTGCACATATACGCCAACTTTTCGTGTATTTACAAGACTAGAAGTTTGAAATACTAGTATTCATATCTTCATAGTGACAAAAGCATTTTGTCATCACCCAGTGTTGCGTTTTCTGTAAATAACTTTGTTTCTTCATAAGAGCTATGTATAATACACGAAGGCTTCCTCAGATCCCCTTCACCTACTCCTCTTCCATCAAGGCATCATCCTAATCAGGTTGGTTTTCTGAAACTCTGCCCCCGATGCGTCTTTGTTTAGTGTGATTCTGGAATTTGGTTCGTCTGCTATGCCCAAGCGTCGGATTATTTTCGAAACAGGCCTCCTTGCTTGGACTTTCACTGTGAGTCTTATTATTGAAGTCCTCCATGTCTCGATCGTCATCCTTGATGCAAGACGGCTCTTCCTTTTGGAATCCAGTCTGCAATCTGACCTCATCGAGCCCCGCGGTCTCAGCAGGTTTACCATCTGATGAGTCCATATTCATGGAGCGCTTTCCATCAGACAATTCTCTTCTGTTTGTACCTGTCTGTCTATTCGAACCATCGAGCGCCTCCTTGTACACGTCTCCATCGTCGCTCTCACCACCAGTACCATGAATTAGCCTCAGCATTTCCTGAGTCATTCTGTGTCGTTTCTCCTCATCAGTTCGCGAATAGTGGTCAGAGAATGATGGTTTTCCGCTCTAGTCGAGTTCCGTGGATGTATCTTCTGAAATTGTGTATGTTGTTTTCTGCGATGCCAGTGCCGATCTCTCCATCAGCGCAGCTTCTGTTGGTAATGGCACATGCTTATTCACCAGATCTTTATCAGTATCTACGTGTGTTAGTGCGAGAACATAGCAATGATGAAAATACATACATGAATCATCAGTGACACTTTCACCGCATGACCACATCTCCCCATCGCAATCGATCTCCGGTGTAGCAGGTAGAATGTCGGCCAACTTTCGCATCAAATGTGTCAATTTTGCTTTGAAATCTCCGGACTGCTGTTGGACTTTAGGGAGTTTGAGAAGTTCTGTGATTTTATTCGCTAGCTTCTATTCCTCTGCAGAGTGTTCTATGGCGTCTGGGTCTTCTGGTGGATCGCGGCCAAGAAATCCGTCAATCGTTTCGATCATCGCAGCCGTTTCATTCTTTATTCTCTTTTTGCAAGACTTGATGCCCTTCGCTGGCAACTTTCCTTTCATGCTTTCCTCTGTTTCTCTTGTGATGGACTGTATGGCGTATAGCAGTGTCTCCTTCTCCTCAAACATCCCCTCATAGGCTTGTACAGCTCTTTCCATATTGTGTTGGGAACGAGTCTTGAATCTTGACTTGAGGATTTCGAAAGAGAATGTAAAGTAAAAGGAACAAGTCGAAGAGAAACTGTAAATGCGGTTCCATAGGGATCAAGTATCACAAAGTGGGTCTTGTGATATTATGTTGTCTTTTAAGAAATTTTTTCTCTCTTTTAGAGATGAAATAATTGTCTTCAGTTCTTCTGCGGGGTGGAAAAACATCCCTCAATAACAATACAATGTTTGAAATCTCAAACCTATCAAATAATCTAATATATCCAGCATCTCTGGAAACACCCGTCTCTTTTCTTAAGTACGACACTAAAATAACTCGATGATCCAATCCTCATCAAACACTCTACCATAGCATCTTCAGCAGCGGCAGAGGGCGCCGAATATAAGCAATCTCCGACAACTGAAAGAATAGGCTATCGCTTTCTCTGCGTATGGGTTGGAGCATGGCGTAGGGAAAAGAAAGGAATTCCGGTGTATCCAAACACATCCTGTCTCATCCATTGCAGCCGAGAAAGCCCAAAAGAAATTTATTGAATCTGGAACTGGAATCGAGTTATAACCAGACTCCCAATTCCGTCCCTTTCAACGACCCAGCGAGAACAAAAGCTTCCATCCGATGATGGTATATTTGCGCCTTGGCCGTGGATTTGCATCTTTCAAACACGGGCGCAGTTGATATCACCAAGGCCCCGATGATCAAGACCGACAAAGAGACTAACAAGGGGATGCCAGTAGGCAAAGAGGTGCCAATCAGTCCAGAGAAAATGAACCATAGTCCCGTATTCAGTGTTGTGCTTGGGTTTACTGAGAAGAAGCCGAAAGGAGGTGCAAAGCTCTATGGCTTGCTTGGAAGAAAGATGGACTGTCCGTACCAAACATTGTAGCCCAAAACCAAGTCCTCTTCTTCTTCAACGAATGCCGGGATGATAGTCTTTCTCGAGCCAAGAGGGACGTCACCTAGTTGGCAAATGTCAAAAAATACTCAGTCTTCGAAGCCAAGACAAAGAGTTGTGTGGAAGACATGTATTGATGCAAAGAGTAAGGGGTACCAGCAAGTTGATATGCGGACCAAAGGAAGGTCACATTAGTGCTAGGGACAAGGATGCACGGAAGGTGTTAAGTGCATCCCTGGCTAGGTTTATGTTTTCACAGATCACTATCAAGCATGATGGCACAATCAAGGTGGTTGAATCGAGCATCTCAGTAGGCCGTGCGATGATAGGACATCCCGGGACTGACTGGCTATTTGTACCTTGAGAATTAGCTTATGCAATGAAAGTTCAACGTTTGATGCAAAATCAATTATTGACAGTAATCTAAATGGCAATGCAAGATGGCATAATTCGCTATTTGAAAGTAACTCGTAAAATGCAAGACATATGGACAAAACGTGATCGCCAAATAGTTTGGCTAGACGCTTGTTAGGGGTAGTCTAGTCAAAAAAGAAAAAAAGGCGAGGATTACTACACTAGAGACGCGCAAATCGATTTAAATAGTCTAAATATCTTGCTTGTCGTACTAATAATGGAACCCATGATCCGAGTAATCATTAATCGGTTTCTCCCATTCCACTGTTCCATCCCTTCGCACCAACAGCAACATCGCATCAGAATTACTTGGAAAAGAGCAAGTGTTACTTTTGATGGAATTTTATTTGGTACGAGCATTTGCTAGTGATAATTTAGCTCTTATTCACCTTGAACAAGAAAGCCCTTCAGATACTAACGCCTCTATGTTTGAACGCCGCCCTTGCAACATTCGGACCTAACAACACTTGTATAACAATATTGACTCCAGGCACCGCGTGACAAATCCCGTTATGTCAAAAGAACGGAGCAAAGTTCTCGGGCTTCATTCATTCTGGTATCATAACCCCTGAGTTCTCATATATCTTGCCACAACCCCTCTCGGATATCTCTCGTGCCACCCTTAGCTTATCTCGAATATTCATCTCGAAAAGAATCTTCCAATTGTAGCGCTTGCAATATTTCCCGCAATTCCTGAGGAATACATGGCACTGCCCGCCAAATTCGATGCTTGCCCAAACTTATCACATCTCGAGAACGCCAAAGTATTCGTAACTGTCAAACTCAATGCAATCACTACACAACGATACTCGTTAGCAGTTTCCTCGGTGCGTCATCTCGTTTCCATTCCTATGCCATACTCATGGCCGCTTGCAATCCGAAACAAAAGGCAGAACTTACCGATCAATGTCAACCAAATAAACTCAAACCTAAAAATAGCCACAAAGGCTAATCCAACCCACAACAATGGCTGCGAATAAAGTGCAAGCCAGAAGAATCTGCTATCCGTAGGGTTTATGATTTTTGTATTTGGATCCGAGGATTCAAAGACCCAATGCGAATCACCAGATGCAGGGTCTACTTCATTCCACCAACGCAATCCGACGAGGCGACGACCGGCGATATTCTTTAAGTAGTAAAAGTCGGCAGCGAGGAGCAGGATGGTTATTATGAAGATCATGACACTATTTGAATTAGAGGGTCAATTGACGAATCTAGGAACGAAAGACGTACAAGTTTTTAATGAAGAGCATTCCGAAGAGATATACTAGAAGACTTGCTGTTTCTAGGAGTTAGTAATGTATTCATGATGGCACACCCAACAATCCATCCAGTATAACTACTACTCTCGAAGCTCAAATCAAACAATGCGCAAACCTACAAATGCGAAATCCTAGGAAACACAACAAAGTAATAGGATGTGAGCTGAGACGCCAACTCAACGACCCAGCAGATTCATTCTGTTCCATGATGAAAGAGGTGTGTTTTGTCAAAAGAGCGTAGAAGTTGAATTTGTTAAGTGTTGATCATGAACACCTGCGTCTGCATGCTCAGATACTCGTAATCGTCGTAAGGCCAGAGTAGCTAGGAGCTTAAGGTTTGACCCAGTTATGGCGCTAGTTGGGCGGTGGACAATGGCAGTATATTTCTGGTTGACCTCATCCCTCTTCAATCACCAGCAGGAGACGTACATTCAAAGACACTACACTCATTCATTTTATTGGTTTCATAACAACATGTTATCATGAATATATATAACATAGTTATAATACCTCATGAGTTCAAGCAAATCGTATACTAACCTCGTTAAACCGGTGATCCTCTAGGTCAGAAGCGTCCCAACTTAGGTGTCTAGAGGTTCTCTGAACAAGAGAACATTGTTTTAAGATTGGATGCGTCTCAGTACGGCGCATGACCTCTAGCAAATATTCATCCATCATTTACTACACTTTTCTTGTCACTTCACTAATATCACAGTATATATATCACATTGGTTGTTTCTTATATATGGTTCTAAAAAATCTTGATTTAAAATGACAAACTTGAAGTAAAGTACTAACTAATCATACATAAAGACGCAGTCTTTAGATTCTATTCTAACTTGACCCTTCTCCCCCAAATCACCCCATTCCCCGCTCAAAGTCTCCAACTTCTTCCTCTGATCTTTCTGATGGGATTGGCAGCAGAAGTGGAGTTGAGAGTAGTTCCACAAGATCCGAAGCCGGGTTGACAACCGGTACCACACCAAGCATCACCAATTCCACAGAATCCGTCCTTGGAGCAACATGGACCAAAGCCGGAGCCGGTACATGTTTTTCCTGCAGAGCAGAGACCGTTGATCGAGGCCTGAAGGGCTCCGGAGCTGGTTCCTGAGGATGAGGGAGAGGTGGTGCTTGATGTTGGTGAAGCTGGTGCTGTGGTTGCGATGATGGTGGCCGAGCTGAGTGTAGATGAAGCTGCAACAGTTGGAAGGATTACGATGGAAACTGGAGTTGTGCTTGAAGAAGCGACAGGTACTGGAGCAGATGGCGCACCAACTGCTGGGGCACTGGAGCTTTCACCGCCTGTGCTTCCTGAAGTTGAGCCCGATGCATCAGAGCCCGATGAGGCGACACCATTGACAGGGCCACAAGTTCCGGTGAAGGTACCTGAGTCTGAAGTCTTGCGTGTAACATCTGCATCTGGGCCTGGATTTGGGTAGTTGACGGCCTTACCTTCTACAGATGTGCATCCGTTGCCAAGGTTGACGAGGAAGAGATCGGGGCGGGCAGAAAAGGCCACAGCCGGAGCAGCACGAGCCTTTGTGCTTTCGATGGTGACGGCAGCGCAGGACATGTAGAACTCGCGGTTACCAACCTGATTTTGCCAAGTCCAAGCGAACATTGCTTCTCCGGCTGGGGCGTCGGCAGGAACAGTGAAGCCGGCACTTGAGCTTACTGCGGTAGGACAGCTTCCGATGTAAGAATGGATGACCTTGAATGTCTTTCCGGAATCGTAGGAGAGTGCGACTTGGCAAGATCCTCCACCGTGAATGGCACCGGTTCCGACGGTCCAGTTTGCGGTTTGTCCTGCGGACCAAGTGACGACGGATTTTCCTCCAGCTGTGCCCATGTCATTGTACTTGCAAGGGAAGTTTGCACCGGAGGCTGCGAGTGGAGCTGTGATGCTGTAATCGATTTGAGATTGGGCGGCGTTGGGGTTGAGCGCAGAACGGAAGGGAAGTGGCCAAGTCAATGACATGTGTGCGTTAATGACGGAAGCGCAAAGGATTGCTCCGAGAGCGAGGTTGTTGGTGAACTGCATCTTGATAGTGATGAAATTAAGTTCTTGTTGTTTGCTTGTGTAGTGTGTTTTGGTTGCGATATTGATGATCAGACCTGCTGAACTGTTGTATTACTGTGTATAGAATAGATATGTGTGGCAGAGAATGTGATGGTCGAGCTGTTTATGGAGGACTTGAATTCGAGGGAATCTCGAGTCAATAAATACTGCAGGAAAATGACTGTATGAAAATAGAGGAAACAATGTGATTCGAAGCTCGCTCTGTTAACAATAAAGGAATGATTCGGCGAGTGTTCCAGCACAATGAATTGGTGACTTGAAGAAACTTAAGGAAAGTATATTGTTCTTTATCTGAATAGAATACTCTTTATTCACCCTCACAAAAAGCCAGAATCCCAACTATTTAAATAGACGAATCTTTGTCCGTCCATACAAAGAAACCATAGAACAACCCAGACGATCAAAGACATCCTATGAATAACCCATTCATCTCCGAAGGTAAGATTAAGAACGACAGAAGAGTTTCAAAAACTCCAGTCCTACACAACCGATAGAGTAGACCAGACCAGTTCTCCCCTGTTGCAGAAAGCATCAGGTGAGACTTGCGAGTAGGAAACCAAATAATCCGACCCAATACCATGATCCTCTCATACACTTGCACGAGAATGCGCTCTCCAAACTTACAGATGCGAAAAATAGCACTAGAAGAACCCTTCCTTCCCCTTTCTCGGCAAAAACTGCAAAAATTCACATCTACCCCAACTCATCCCGTCCCGTCTTGTTCATCTCGCACCCGACGAACAAAATAACCAGCACCTCGCCCCAAAATTCCAAAAAAAAAACTAACCATAGAACTTCTAGATCGATCCCCGCTCCGAAACAAAGCAATTCTTGCACCTGTTCATTTCCACCTCGTTGCGAGGAAAAATTCAGGAGAAGTATCAACAAAGAATATAAGTGGTTGTTGGAGAATCACAAGGCGACATCCCTTAACCAATCAACGTACTTGAAACATAAATTTTTGAAACCTCGATTTCGAAACTTGATGATTTTACCCACCAACTGCCAAAAGTAATGTCATGTCCGTTAGGTTTCTTGACTAATATGCACCGGCGTATTCCTTAGCCTATTAATTGACATCAGGGTGTTTTCTATGAAAGATGGGAGTTTTGGTGGTATCGGAATTTTTGAAATATTGTATGTCACTGTGCAGTATATCAGGTGAGTTTTTAAAACTTTGGATTGTAGTTTACTAATAGGGTATCGTTGATCCGTGAAGATATTTGTGTATTGATTCGATTTGAAATACCAAAATCATTTGGAATAATGTTCGCTAAAGTCATTGAACGAATATCAAAATGTCGAAGTCTCAGATCCGGCTCAGTCTCGACTCCTGAACGCCATCATGCTCAGCTATCTCGGTTATCATGGAATTGTATTGGAGACTGACTCATTCAAGTCGTTCGGCAATCTATAGTTCGTCCTTCCTTCGCTGTGCTTCTTTCGCAGCCTCTTCTGGCTCTTCCCACATCCTCTTCTTTGGGTTTCCTGAATTTGATTCCTCAGTTCGCACTACGTTCTCTCCCACCTCGGCTTCTGTATCATGGAGTGATTCGCGTCCATCCGAGTCTCCGATCATCTCTTCCTTGATAGGCGCCTGGCAATGCTGGCTTTCATCAATGATATGTTCGACCTCCTCAACCATCGTCGATGCCGCTCTTGCTACAGGTCGTTGATCACCGTTTTCAACGCTGATTGCTGGAGTATTCTTGCTATTGGGAATAGCACTCCCACTCCTAGTTGGGATAACTGAATAAGTTGCAGGCTCACTGGATATGGACATACTGCTTTCAACAGCCGAGCCACCCTTGGAGCCCATTATTCCGAATATACTAAATAGAGAGTAGAAGATTAACTTCAGTGGCGCGTAAACCAACCACCAAAGTGGTCCGTAAAACAACCTCCTAAAAACAAGCCATGCAATTGTACATGCGAGTACGTAGAATGCCGTTTCAAGATACCACGTATCACTCTTTTGGCTCCTCAGCAAAGTCCCAAGCAAATTCCGCGAACTTGATAATAGAGAGTCTAATGTAGAATATGTTTCATTCAGCTGCGCCAACGCTTCCGTTGATTGTTTTAATGTATCGTTTGCGAACTGTGACTTTTCTAACTCGCCCGCCATCATTTCGTGAGTTCGTCGAAGCGCAAGAGTAACGTCGCTGGCAGCATTTACTGTCTTATCTTCCTTTGAAAGTTCTGACTTTGGTCGCGCGATAGGTCTTTCCATCGAATTAGGGGTTGACCTACCGGAAGAGAGAATTAAGCTTGGCTGAAAGAGATGTTGTCGCTCCCAAACTTGCGCAGCGTTTAGCGTCTTTCTGGCTGTCACCTCGGCCTTGCGGAACGCTGAATAGCATCTACATATTTCAGCGATCAGTCTGGAGTATGACATATATAGGAATGAACAAAATAATTGTCTTACGATTCGACTTCTTTGATGTTCTTCTCCACTGCCTCATCAAGCACCTTTCTCTGTCTTCCCAACTCACTGTTCGGCCCTCCTGTAGGCATTGACAAAACATCTTCTTGCAGTCGCTCAAAATCCTCATCTTGTTCTTTTAACACCTGTGCGATCTCCGCAGAAAGCTCCAGCAATACGTTATCGTCATCGCTGTCCAGTGCTATAGAGCCAGGTTCAAACTTAATGGTTGCTAGACGTTCAATCAATTCTCTGGCTTGTCTATTTGATTCCTGTAGAGTCGCAAGGCGTTCGGAAAGCGTCTCGAAAGACATATTGATTTGTTTGAGCTTGGCAGATGTTTCGGCTTGTAAATTCTGCATCGTCATGTCATGAGAGCTGGCTGCTTGTGAGGCTCGGAATTTACCGAGAATTTTATTTTGCGCCTAGCATATTGAGCATCCAGACCACAACTGCACCCCAGAAACTTCATAGAACATTGAAAGTCTCATGTAAGTGCGGATTGATACGTTTGGTCGTTCAATACTAATTATATACTAGGCTCCGGTAGCAAACATGATCACAAGATTCATCACCGAAGTCTCGACAGTCTTCAATCCCTTCTCTCCCAAAGCCAAAACCGCACGGTTATTTCTCTCAGTTCTCCCACCAAATGCACGACAGACCATGAAGATCGATACAAAGATACTACCCAGAGCATCTAAAGAGCGGAGTCTTGTGCGCCTTAAGTTTAGTATGTGTTGTCGGATTTAAATTTGTTCGCATTCGCAGATTCTAACCCTAATTTACAGAGGATGGAAAAGAGATGAAGTTGGACGCAGAGAAGCTCGGTATTAGAGGTGTATCTGATGAAGTGGATAGGCATTCACGAATTTTGGCAAGGCAGGAGGAATTGACCGGAAACTGATGATATAATGCTAGAATGTATATTTATTGCATTTGGGAGGCGTTTTTAAGGTCGTATGCTTAACAATATCATACTTTCAATAAGCACGGAGTGTCTTTTATGTGAACATAATATACGAGTTCTAGGATTTTACACGTCTCTCAATCCATGTCGATATTTCATGAGTTGGATCGCTAAGGCCTACGCAAGGATTGGGTAGAAGGAACAATCTACAAGTCAGAAAGGTTGAAGATATTACGGCTTGGCAGGAAGAAATACTGGACGGCTATAAACGCTCAACGGTCCTACGGGTCTCCCGTTTTGGGTATGAAGATTACATCAAAAACCAATGCGAAGACAAGCAATGTTCATTTATCAACGCAATAACACGTTTTCCAGCTGCGTTGGCTCGTATGCAAGTCTGAAAGCCCCAATGCATTTTTGAGAAAACCCATCAAATCTTTTGACGAACAAGGCATAAAAAGAGCTAGAGGTTTTGATAGTATTTCACAGTTGCACGTATTGAATGCCAGAAGTATTATGGATGTGCAAGAAATGCGCTTGGAAACCTTCGTATTGTATCTACAGCCAATAGTGATGGCATAAGTGTAGGGTCGTTTAACTTTTATGGTATTCTGGCAATAACGCCTGCGAATGTATAGCCGTGATTCAAGACATCTGAATTTAAGCGGCAGCACCAGAGATGAAGAACCACTTGTCAATGCTTGGGTCGATAGGAGCTGGGGCAAGGTTCTCGTTAGATGGGATAGGAGGAAGTTGGTTGGCTTCAACACGGCTGTTGAGTGCTTGACAGTGACGTTGGTGCTGTAAATTCGTTAGTTAACAGTCGACACAGCGAAATGACAAAAAAAACTTACGTTGAAACATCACCTGGGGTGGTCTTGCCAGTGATGAGCTTCTCCCAAGCCTCAGCACACTCACGAACGATATCGGTGGCGTACCTAAATACATTTTAGCTTGCATGTCAAATTTATAATCGTGTGATAACTCATACTTCTTGTTCTTGCACTCTCCAGTGAAAGCGAATTGGTTCTCTGGCTTTCCATCTGGGATTTTGTAGATTCTGAACCATTCATTTGTAGCCCTCAAGAGACCTGGAAGGTGTCTCTCAACATCCTCAACGTCATTGAGCTTAGGAGCCAAGGGGTCGTTGACATCGATGACAATGACCTTCCAGTCGGTCTCCTCCTCATCGAGCAAGGCCATAACACCGAGAACCTTGACTTGCTTAACTTGACCTGGGTATCCGACCAATTCACCGATCTCGCAAACGTCCAATGGATCGTTGTCACCCTTGGCCTTGGTTTCTGGGTGGACAACGTTAGGGTCCTCCAAGTCTAATATCCAATCAGCTCGTGTCGCAGATAATATGTATACATTCTAGGTCTTACTTGAGGGAAGGCACCGTAGTTCCAGAGATAACCCTTGTGTGGGAAGCAGTTGCGGACGAAACGAAGCTTGCCCTTCTTGACATCTTGCTTCTGTGGAAACTATTAGCATAAGAATTGAGCAGGATGGTAGGAGGGACATTCGATTGGGTTAAGCATCTAATGAATGGCATGTTAGCTGACGGTGTACAAAATGCAGTGATAAGTGAGAAAAACCTCTTCTTTGCTGATCTCCATCTTGCCGTTTGTCCATCTTGGGATCTCAACAACCATGTTCAAGATGGTTTGTTGCTCATTGGCATAAAGGGGGATATCGTGGAATGGAGAAACTGGAACTCCATCCTTTTCGATATAGATACGGTGCTCCAAGGTGTTTGGAGCTCCGATCTTTCTGACAGTGTATTTGGAAGCCATTGTTGTATTTAATGGTGTTGTGTTGTCGGAGGATGAATTCGTTGAGAGGTGACGAGATATTTGCACCACTCTTAGCGGTATGGTGGGGTTGTTTTTGTTCGCCAGTTTGGCGTGCGCGGCGGTCACGCCTTTATAACAAGGAAAGCGCAGGGGCAAATGTTGCTTTAATTGGTGAGAAGGACCACGGCAGGTATTCGATAGGTGTGTGAGTGATCTGATTTGTCCTGCTCGAGCCTGAATGGGAATTTCTATATTGGGATGGAATTTCCAAATTGAATTTGGAACGCCAGTAAACTTGAACTTGAACATTCAGATCTCTTGCAAATGTTCCAAAGAGTAATAAGTAGGTCCTGAATACTTTGAATCTACAATCTGCAACCTGCAATCTGCAATTAACCTCCGTACTACCTAGGTAATAAATTACGCTATTCAGCAAATATTTTCCGTCGACCGCGGCTTCTATGATTAACCGCTACCAATGGAACGTGCCTTGCCATGGTTTCCGAACTTCGGACCCTGCCGTTTCCATATGGGACTTGGTCTCATCTCTAAAGCAGCAGCGGGATGTGTTGTCCTAATGCTTCTTCACTCCAAACTTCAAGGGGAAAATGCCGACCCAATCTGTGTACACTTCTCATATCAGACCCCCTTTTTTCTTTGTTCTGTTCATGATTCCGAACAATCAACTGAAGTCACGTCACAGCTTCTACTCTACACATTTACCTTTGGACCCGAAAGCATCCTGACCCGAGTATCAGTAGTTCAAGGAAGACTCATCACATACATGATATGGATGTCACTTCTATGATGCATTGGCACTATGTCATTATTAGACAACAATGTCGCAAGGTCTGAAGATTCTCAAACATAGCATTTGCACAGCGTTCATTCCGCGTTCAAGAGACTACCTACGTACCTAATAAGTAAGGGTTCTGCTCGATCTACGAGGAACAATACGATTATGCAACTGGTTAGAATGAAAAAACAACAATCTCTCCTCATCATAAAGTTAAACCTTCCAGAGCAATCTTTGCTATCAATTCTCTCAAGAGACAGTGCGAAATGAATGTCCCTGAAAGATGACAATACACAGAGTTTCTTGTTCATTGAGGTTCAGATATTTTCGCTTACCTGGTCTGTACATAAAAGAAAAAAAAGAGGCCAAAATTGAACATCCGCATGAATTCTACAATAAATCAATCACAAATAAAGTTTTAAAGATCAATAGTACTAGATAAACTTTCGGGCAGCCTTCAATTGGAGAATTTGTTCACACCTTGAATTCTTTAAATCGTGAGGTTCTGATAGTTTGAGCATCCTGAAAAGATCTCAAGATACGACAACGATGCAAGACTCTACATCAGGGCAAAATATCTAGAAGTAAAGAAAATATTGAACGGACATCCCATCCAACAACGTGCTAATATCGAGACGTCGAGAAATCGAGAAAGTTTAGGGAAAGTAGCCTGTAAACCCTTGACAACGCAGTAATAAAGTATACATAGTCATCATCTGTTGCTTAGCAACTCCATCTATTTATACCCATCGTGACAGATAACTCAAACTCTCTCCTCTACCAACCCTCCACTATCTTAACCTTAACATATAAGCCCTTCGATGGCTTCGCAGTCACTCCTCCTTTAATATCTAGATTCTTCTCATCCATCATCTTCTTATCTTTCAACTCAAACTCAAACCTTCCAATCCACGTCGCTAACAAAATTGCGAATTCCGCCTTCGCAAACTGTTGACCAATACAACTTCTTGGCCCATGCAAGAAAGTAAGGAATGCATAATTACTTGAGCTCCCTCCACCGGTATTATGCGACTCGCCATTCTCAGTCATCCATCGATCAGGATCAAACTTTCGAGCAGAGGAGCCCCACATCTTTTCGTCCTTGTTGATGGCCCATGGAATCAACATCACACGTGTCCCCTTTGGTATGCGCTGACCAGAGATAGTCGTATCAATGGCGGCTTCACGAAGGGTTAGAGGAACAGGTGGAAAGTAGCGGAGAATTTCGTTACAGACAGCGTTTAAATATGGCATGTAATCGATATCTTGACTTGTGACACTGGCGTCTGAGTCTGGACTGGGAAGTTTTGCACGGACTTCCTCTCGGAGACGAGATTGAACTTCTGGATAGGCGCAGAGTAGATAGATGGCCCAAGCCATTGAACTTGCAGTCGTCTCGTGGCCAGCTGCTAGGAAAGTCATGAGTTGATCGATGAGATTTTCATCGGGGAAGCCTCCACTCTCCAATGCCACACTCAGGATATCCACATCGGTCAATTCCCTCTTTTCTAGCTTCGATTTCTTCTCATGGATGAGATCTCTACAAACGGATCTGATGGTTTCTGCAGCTTCCTCGATTTCCCCATTTCTCTTGATAGGTATTCTTTTTACGAACCATCCTGGTAAGAAAAGCTGGAGAAATCCAAGGATTTGTGCAGAGCGTGTTGGCTTAAACACAGTCCTATATGTTCTATTTAGTAGCGTGTCGGGGTCCTGAATGGCTCCGAAATCCTTGCCCAGGCCAGCTGCTCCGATTATGTCCAGTGTTATTCTACTTGCCCATTGCATGGCTTCCATTATCACTACGCCCTTCTCTGGCTGAGTGACACTTCCGTCATTTCCATCTTCTTCTTCAGCTACGCCATTGGGGATATCGCCACATTCTTTTGCCTTGACTTCTTTGGTCATGGCTTTCAACCCTTCACAAGATTTATCCCAGAAAACGGAATATAAATTCTTAACATGTCGAAACGCAAACGCGGGCATTAGATTTTTTCTCTGTATTTTGTGTTCGTCTCCCTCTGCCAAGAGAACACCAATTCCAAGGAGACGTCCAATTCCGATACGAAGAGTGGAAGGTTTAACGAAATCGTAATTTTGATGGCAAGAACTTCACTGAGTGCTTTGGCATTTGTAACCATGACTCGCTCCGAGTTCAACATCCCTAAGTATCTTATGATACCGTCATTTGGAACATCTTGTATCCTATTGCTCAGTTAGCCACATATAGAGATATATAGAGTATCAGATCTCACCAGTCAAGCATAGGCTGACCAGTCGGCTCTCCAGAGATCCTCTTCCATTGGCCATTCCACCAACTACCTCCTTTTGGAGAGGGTAAATGCCTCAGGGGTGAAAAGTAGTAAGGATACAAGATCACTCTCCAGATCGCAAACCCTATGAACTGTAACAAGTATAGTAGTACAAAAGTTCCCAAGTAGCTCGGCTGAGTGGATAATAATGTATCTGGCTTGTAAGAAACAAGTGCGTAGGAAAGGGTCGTAGGTAAGACCAGCAGTCTTTTGAAGGGAATTGAAGACATAGAGGCGAAAGTCTATAACTATCTTAAAGGGGAGAGATATGTTGGCAGAGTGCCGAGTACTTATATAGCGGAGTCGGATCTATAAATGTGCCGCCTCCGCAGGTCAAATTTCTTCGCAAACTGAGGTTTCAATGGAAGTAGGAAAGTGGCTTCAAAATGAATGTACAAGTATGCTAGTTTGCCACGGAAGGGTTTACTATACAGGTAAGAGAGGTTAACGAAATCTAAAAGCACCTAGTACATCTGCTTCGTCGCAAGTTTCAAATGCGGTGGTGATTTCATGTAACTTAGATCCGGGCACAAACAAGTTTATCCCTTGTCACTTGTGAAAAGAAGCTTGAATGGCTGTATGGTTGTAATTATAATTCAGAAGGAGAAAGATGAAACCATTTCTATAGATGTGTTTTCTCAAGTACCAACTCAAAATGATAAAGAAAAACGGTAATTGTAATTGTAATTGATTTCAAAGAACTCGAGACGAAGTTCCAGTCCATGATACCTCAACTTTTTGCATACCTTATTCGGGTAGTATTTCGACAAGGATTTTGTAGATCTTGCGTTGAGGGTGTGAAGGGACCACTATTTTTGAATTGACCCGTAAATCTTGTACGGAGTAGCCAATTGATAGCCAGTCTCGAGCCAGTGATTACTACTCTGTACAATACTAAAAGCTTGAATCTGGCCTGACAGCAAGAATTTGACTTTCCTACCACGCTGGCGAAAACGAAATAGATCTCCATCAGAATACAAGCCTTTTTCGAGTCTCTGTTGAGTAACATCTCGGAAAGTGTTTGGTATCCGGACCCCGTTTCTTTGTCCACCATACAAGAAACAAACGGGTAACTTATTGTTCCGAGTGAGGATTTGTGTGTAGATAAATTGATGGAAGATATTCCGCGTTGAGCATGATCGTTCCAAATCAGTCAGGACTCAGTCGATCATCCCTTGATGTATAATCGACCCTGCTTAGAATGTCTGTTATTTCGAGGCCCAACTTTGGAACCAGGCATTGCCAGAGACAATATACCGTCTTAAATCGACAAACTCGGAATCTACCTAACAGTACCGCAAATCTGACAGTCGTATGCTTCAAATGTTTATAGATTACGTGAGATAAAGTATTAGTCTAGACAATCATGTGAAATATACATATCGAAATGAATAATATAGACAATTAGGATAGACATAGGCAGTAGTATAGACATTGACAATTTTATTATTGCGAGCGTCTCAGACTCTCTCGGGAAAGAGCCTCGCTTGCAAGATTGTAGATACACTGATATAAAGATAACCAGGGGTAATATTCATTTTCATTCTCATATTGATATATACTGGCATTAATACAAATATGGATATTGATATGAATCTTGCAATTCACCTGGACGGTTGATACATTGGCAAACCTCACATTTACACCATCACATATGTCGCATGTCAGTCGGATAGGTAGTTTGGAATCATTAAATTTTCATAATCATAAACATCTAGCTGTGTGTAGGCATTGAAACATCAGCAGACTTAGAAATTGCATCCTCGCTCCTCCACAAACTGGTCACTGTCTTTTGCTGTGTGTAGAACTGTAGTCCTGGCTTGCCATAAAATGTATTTGCACCACCTCCAGCAACACTCTTCTTGTTTCCGGTGAAGGAAAAGAATGGAAGAGGGACAGGGATTGGTACATTGATTCCCTGCTGTCCTGCCTCGATGTTCTTTTGGAACGCTGTTGCCGTGGCTCCAGATCGTGTGAAAATAGCTGCACCATTGCCGTATTCATTAGCGTTGATGAGATCGATGGCTTCGTTAAGAGTGTCCACATTCAAGCATACTAATACTGGGCCAAAAATTTCTTCCGTGTAGCACTTCATATGAGGTTTGACGTTGGTGATGATGGTAGGGCCAACCCAGTTTCCGTTGGGATATTTTTCAGGTTTATAACCTCTACCATCCAACAAGATTGTTGCACCTTCCTCTTCTGCGCTAGCAATCAAATCTTCGATTCTTTGCTTGCTCTGTGGAGAGATGACTGGACCAAGATCCGCTCCCTTTTCAAATCCTCCATTCACGTTCAATGATTTAGCACTGTCGGCTAGTTCAGACAACCATTCCTTGGTTTCTCCAACCATAACCAAGGTACTCAGAGCCATACATCTTTGACCAGCGGCTCCAAAAGCTGCTCCGACAATTGAGTTCAGGGCATGTTGCTTGTTCGCGTCGGGTAAAACCGCACAGTGGTTCTTGGCACCCAAGTTTGCTTGCACGCGCTTGCCATTAGCAGAACCTCGGGTGAAAATATATTCTCCAGCACGATTGCTTCCAACAAAACTGATGGCTTTAATGGCCGGTTCATCGATAATAAAGTCAACTGTTTTCGATGCACCATGGACAATATTGAGTACTCCGTCGGGGAATCCAGCCTTTTGGGCAAGTTCGGCAAGAATCATTGCGGCACCAGGATCTCGCTCGGAAGGCTTAACAATAAGACAATTTCCAGTTGCGCATGCAATTGGAATAGACCATAATGGAATCATTGCAGGAAAGTCTATTGAACGTTAGTAGGATCTAAGTTTTGAAATTTCTCTAAACTTACTGAATGGGCAAATGGCAGCTACAACTCCTAATGGCTCCCTATAACTTCTGGTCTCCATATCTTTTGCTACCTCTATGACCTCACCCATCATTTGTTGGGGAATGGCACATGCGGTCTCGGCGACTTGCAATCCACGAAGAACGTCTCCCTTTGCATCTGCCCGCACATCAGTCTCGAAGTTCAAAGGTATACCATTGGGGACATACCAGCAAAAGTTTTACCCTGTTCCAATGTGATGCTGGCAGCCAATCTATCCCAATTTTCCCGTACTAGCTGTGTGAATTTAAACATAATTTGTTGTCTTGCCATTATGCTGGTATTTTTCCACCCTGGGAATGCTTTCACCGCACTATCAACTGCAGCTTTGAGCTCAGCATCTGTACTTTGTGGTACTCTTGTTACGAGATTGTTTGTTGCTGGGTCGTGTAAATCGATGAATTGTGTAGATTCGGATTTGAGGAATTTATTGTCGACAAAGTAAGGAGTATCCTGCACATCTTGGATTTTCTCGTGAGTTGTAGGATAATTGTCGGCATTAAATGCTAATGCTGCAGCAGGTTTGAGATGTTGAGCTGTAGCATGGAGTCTGCGAGTAGCAATTTTGGAGGTCTCAGAGGAGGATGGCATATTGAATGCTACTCTGGGTCGTACTGCAGAGGAGGTATGTCGAACCGTGGCAGCTGAAATACCTTTGGTTAGAGTTCGACGCATTTTTGCTCACAAAGTCTGGTTAAAATGATGTTTGAAGAGAAATCAATTGTATCCCTCCAAAGTATTGTGAATCGTCACATCAAGAACAAGCGCAGCTACTTGTAGTTTCGGGTGAGTGGGTTGTAAACTGGGGTTCCGAGCTCTTAGTAGCGGCTTAAGATAGCCGGATGCGGAGAAATTGGTTAGACTTTCCTATCTTGGCTCGTCGTGATCAATCCAAGGTGTATCAAAATATTTTGTACGTAATTCTCAAAGATTCGAGGGTAATAATGATTGATATCCACGGACGTGAGAGATATGAGAGATATGAGACACAGGAATATCGATAGTCATATATTATTATCTAAGTCCTTTGTTGAGAATATCGAAGATTACCATTACTGACTTGATAAGGAGATTCGCGCCTAAGCGAAACTTGGGACCTTACCTCGCGCCGGCAGGACGAAACCTCCGAGACAACAAAAATAAAGGTTTACTTCGATATCTGATCTAAAATCAGACAATCAATATTTCAAATTTACATTAAGATAAAGATATCGAAAAGTCTTTAATTTACTTGAAGTCTATACATTTCTATATACATTCAATTCAATATCCAAGAGTCTGCGCTTTCATTGTATAGTTGTATTTGAGTGGTTTGGTGTACTGTTGCTTTTGCGAATCCTCAAAGATCCAACTTGTAACATGACAAGTGATGTTATTCTGATATTACCATCTTATAAATATGGGTGCTGTGTTTAGCATGACGTCGGTTTTAGCATTGAGATGTCAATCTATCTTAAGTCGGGTGGGAAGATTGTGAGGAGAATCGGGCTAGATAATTGGATTCTAGTCGTAGAGTGGTGTGAGCCAAGACCATATCATACACTCAATAGAAATAAGTTCATCAGGAGACATTCCGCTTCGGTATATGATCTTGTGTTGGGTGGTAAGGGATCTCGAGATATTGCTTTTAGGTAAGCATTTCTTTATCTTCTAATCTATGTATCGACCTTCTGAATATCCTACTGGCAAAGCCATATCTCAAAATATGAGTAGGCCTAAGATGATCCGACATCTTCGGCGTACCATTCTTGGATCTTGCGCTCTCGGAATCAGACAGCGGTCAACACTATCTATTCGTGAACTGAGAATCAATACTGGCCATTTCTACATGGTTGAGGAAGACATCGATGCGTACAAAGACGGCATGTTAGTCACTTGCGTCCAGGTTTGCATGAAGTCAATTGAACCAAAATGCCACTCGCATCTGGGAGTCATTTGGTTCAATCGCTGTGTGTTTGCTTCTTCTGTACTAGAGACCTTGCGGAGGAGCTGTGAAAATAAGAAATCCTCCATGGGTTATTAGAGAATTGATGAATTAAGATTTGAGTCGACCTGATGGATTTATTGCTTGAGATGGTTTTAGAGTCCGTTAATCGATGGTCAGTTGCCAGTGGGTGAGAATCCAACGTAAACAAATAAAAATACGTATATAATTATGGAAGAGAAGATGGATGCATGGCTAGTGGTTCTGACCAGAGCCCGAGAGAGATCTTGGAGTCAACTGTGGTCTGGGCCACTATGTTGAGTCTATCCTCTTAGATGCTTTCCGACGCCTAACATCGTGTGATTGAAGAGCTACTAGGCAAGTTATAAGATCATGCATGCTAGCATAGGATTAGCGGAAGGTAGGAGCTGTGGAAGAGTGCTTTTAAAGAAT